TTCCTTAATTTTCCCTGCCTTTAGTTGCTATAATTCTAAAGATAAAAGCTCCTGTCACGTGTTGTAAAAAACTCTGAAGTATCGATTAAGCCTTAAATAATTTTTTTCCCTTCTACAACTGCACTACATGAGCAGCAGTTTCACCTGGTTTCATACCACCATGAACAGTGTTCAGCAGAAGTTCTGTTTTAGTCCAGTGAACTAAATGGGCATTGTCTTCTCAGAGCATTCAGCTTGTCACTACTGATGATATGTGAGGTGCTCCTGTACCAAATACAGTCCTTATGTCTGAAGCCCTGATGCATTCATAATGCTGAGCAGCATTTATGGGTTTACTAATTCATAGGAGACACACTCTCTCTTTATCATTAAAATCTGCTGTTTTGTACAGGGATACACGATGGCACAGTGTACATGACTTCATTAATACATTTGTTTCTCCTGCCCTTGTTTTCCTTCAAGGCCAAAGAGTGCAAAATGGGCAGGTTTCCAGTTATTCTGACAATAGGAGGACATCTCCCATCCAAACTATTTTGCAGAAATACTAGATGACTGCTTTAAATGTCAAACTACTGAATGAGATAGTAGTCCTGCTTTGTCTTCTGTTAGAGTTTTTCCCTAAGGGGCAGGATTTGGCAATCACCCCATGACACATTGTATTCAAGTTTACAAGCCTGCAAGTAAAGTAAATCAGGAAAGGCTTCTATTATGAATCCCACGAAGGGATTAGAGGTGGCTGCAAAATTGTTCTGTTTGTAAATTGTTAAGTTTTATACCTTTTCTCTCTTTCTTGGGGATACTACTTGCTTTCTTATGTACACCACAGTGTTTGTTTGACATGCCTCCTCCATAAGCTCTCCAATGCGACAATTGCTTTATACTACAAGTATGTGCAAAGCACTTGGGGAACTTGGCTAGCAACGCTTAGCAGCCTTACGATCTAAAAACATTCCCTCTTTTTCCCTTTTTGAGAGATCATAGAATCATAGAATAGTTTAAATTGGAAGGGATCTGAAAACTCATCTAGTTCCAATGACCCTGCCATGAGCAGGGACACCATCCACTAGACTAGGTTGCTCAAAGCCCTGTCCAACCTGACCTCGAACACTTAATCTCTCTTAAAATATGGGATCACGCAGAAGCACAGAATGGTTCAGGTTGGAAGGGACGACAGTGGGTCGTCTGGTCCAACCTCCCTGCTCAAGCAGGATCATCCTAGAGCACATGGTACAGGATGGATAGATATTGTAATGTCAGTTTAATTACATTGCGATTCAAATCTTGTACATTTTGTGCCAATTCACCTTCACTGTGGCATCAGAAGCAGGATTTTTTGGTTTTGTTTCTACTTATTATGAAAATTACCCATGCATATGCTTTTATACTACAGTTGGTACCCTGGGACTCCAGGGAGTAGGAATTGTATGTCTTGTTCCATGACAGTCAGAGCTTTGAAAGTAGTTAAAATAAATACTTTCATGATGGATAAACCATTTATGGAAATATGATCTCATCCAGGCATTTGCAAGATAATGCAAGCCAAGTAAAAAATACTGGGGGTTATGTGACTTTGAAACTACCTCTACAGTCATATAAATTCCTTCTTTAAAAAAAAAGAAAAAGGAACAAAATGTGGTTTAGAGTCCACACCAATCAGTAAAAGCTGATTTTCAATTTTGTTTTATACTGGAATTGCTTTGTAGTTACTAGGAATTGCTTTGTAGTTTTGTTTTTGCTTTCCCTACAAGTGGTGTCAAAACCAAAATGTCAGTGCCCAAGAAAGCCTATCTTTCTTTTCTTTATTTTTTTTTTTAAAAAAACAGACTGTTTGAATTAGTGTCATGAGTAGTTAAGCAACCTATGGGATATACTATCTGGAGACTCAGTGTTCTTAGTGGATCTGAATGATTAAGTTTGGTTTTGTTTGTTTGGTTTTAATCCCGTTTTTCATCTTGTAATTTAAAAGAGAAGCCTGCTGTCTTCCTGTTTGTTCCACATAAATGGGAAAACATGCAAGTGTCTGGATCATTGCCAAGACTGTAAATGAGCCCTGCAGCAGCGCTGATGGGAATCATAGCTGAGAGCAGTTTTGTGTGTTGGTCAGAGACCATGTTTTGGAACTTACAAATGACTTGTGAGGGAAGACCATAGCAGTGGGGCAAGCTAAGAATATACTGGCTGATAAACTTTGCTTCTGTCATTTGATTATATCAGATCATATGCCTTTTCTCTAGCTAATAGGTTCCCAGATCTTATTTTTTGCAAAAAGTAGCAATCAAAACTTAGTAGTCTTTTTGCTGAATTTCCCTTTTGTTTCATAGCAAGGTTTTGATCATCACTTCCTCACTGCACTTGATATCTGACCTTTCTATCATTCATCTGTTACTTGCAGGTTTTTGGCATTTGTGACAGAAAGGATTAGGCATATATATATATATGTGTGTGTGTGCAAACTTTTCGTAATTCAGCTCTATAAAGGAGGGGAATTAATAAAAAAAAAAAAAGGAGAGGAAGAAGAGCTTTGGAAGAGCAAGGGCTTAAAAGAACGCCTAAACTGACGTACTTCTGTGTGTTGTAGTATATTGACTTCCAGGTTTCGATCTCTGGAAAGCATTAGATAATAGCACACTCTACAAAGCCAAGATGGGACAAGAGAGCAGAAAATCCCATGAAGCAAATGAGGTTTTATAAGTAGGGAAATTCAGGACAGACAAACCACTGGATAAGATTAGTCATGCGCCTGGCTGTCCACTGCGGCTCTTAGCATGGTAAGAAGAGATTTGTCAGTGGGAGGTGAGAGTTGTCTGTCTCTCGGTTTCTGAACTGTGTTCTACACCTGTGTTTTACATAGCAGTGTCTGGAGAGTATAAATCACAGTTTTTTCCTTAAGTAATGAATATATATTTTTAGCCAGCTGTTGAGCTCTCACAACTATTAGAAACATCAATACAATTTCAGGTTAATTAACAACTGAGAAAGTGAGGCCCAACAGCTGATTTGTGAGGCTGGCCAGCAGCTTAGAATCCAGTTAATGCCAAACGAAATTGTTTGGCTTTGTAGTTTTAAATTTCGCAGGTATGTACTGAGCAGCAGATGAAAATAACAGCCCTTATAACTTATGTAGTTATTAACCAAATGAAATTATTAAGAGTTATTATAATTGACTGTTTACTTTTCTGTTATTCTGTAGAATTTACTCTGTTGACAGGAAAAGACGTATCACAGTTCCTTCTCACTGGTACCTGTCCATGTACCAGTAAATGATATGGATTGCAGAGACATTTGTGGAGTTCATATAAGAAGTACAAAGCACAGCATTCTTAACCGTTTGTAGTTAGAATTAGATTTATTTCTCTGGCAAGTTCAAGTGCTCTGTAGCTCATATCTCTCCTTGCAATACTGAGGTAGGCTGTGTAACACTTTTAAGATGAGAAAATCCATTTTGCCCATTTCAAAGAAAAGAGAAACCATGGAGAAGAAACTTGGCTCAGAAAGTTTGCTTTGCTGTAAGGGTAAATGCTAAATATCTAAAAAAGAGTTTCTAATGCAGGACTATTGTACTTCTGAAGAGTAGTATGCCTTTTTTTATTGCCATTACCTCTAGTATTTATCCACACTATTTGGTTTATTTTTATGAAAGACTGAGAGTCAAGGCAAGATAACACATACAGGCAGCTGTAAAATTGCCATTACACAATAGTTTTCTGGGAACACTTTTTATAGTAAAATCATCTTCTGCAATAATAGGATCAAGCTCCTGACTGGTATTTTATTTACAAAATGAAGCAAACAATCAAACAAAAAAACCCCCGAACAACCTTGGAGTAAGGTGTGACATCTTGTAGTGAAATATGTTTTTTTCTGATGAGAAAAATATTTGTAAAGGTGTTGTGCATTTCAGTGTGTAGAAACTTTTCAGTCTGACTCTCAAAATGCAAAGAAGGTTATATATGTCTTTTTCCAGGAACATGTCACGCTCATCCATGGACAGACTCTTCTGTACTTTGCTTGTAGCTAACAATCAGTAATGCTAACTTATCTGATGGCCCTAATTTCCTTGTGAAGCAGAGAACAGTAGTTTTTAGGGACTGAGAAGTTGTAGGGACCAAAACATTAGTGTTAATGTGATTGGTATTTGCTTGTACACTTATCCCAGGAAACTCATACTATTTCAGACCAAGCAAAACATAAATTCTGGCACTGGGTAAATTTTATGCTTTGAAGGAGAGAGAACAGTAGCTCAGACTCTCTGTCTTCTGTGAGGAAGGAAGGATTGAAAAGGAGGAAGGGAGACGGGGAGGACATCTCCAGATACTAAAGGCATCGCACTGCAGCTCTCACCACATTGCCCCACTAGACGTGGTAGATGACATCACATTCTCACTCTCCTTCTCTTTGAAGTAGGGTGTTAGATGGGGCTTTTAGTTCTTATTCCTCTTGCTGAGTTCAAGACAGGACAAGCCTCCCCTCATTAATTGGGACTTATGAATTGGTTTTTGGATGCTCATTATCAAATGACTATAATACACTTACTGGAAATATCCTATGCTGGGAAATCCTCATGTCAGGCAGTGATTAATGGCTTGTCTCACATAATGCATATCTATCTGTGACTCTTAAGTAATAACTTGTAGGCATTTTTCCTTCTTCCTTTGTTATACTAATAGAAATAAATTAAAGGCCTGATTATAAATCATGCAAAACTTGTGGTTGAAATATGAACGGATTGTGACTCAAGGCCTAGGTTGATTGTCTTTCACACTGAGTTGTCTTTGGTGGTCATATGTAGGAGATAGCAATAAGTAATCCATTGGGTGTTACCTCTGGGGCCAACAGATGTAGCATCTCAGGTGGATCTCCTCTGTCCCAGTAATACATGGTGCTAAGAAGCTTCTGATGCCTGCTCTAAAAATTGAAAGGAGCTGCGGCACATGAGTGGGAAAGGGAGGCAATAACCAATGAAACAATTTTTTTCCTTCCTCTCTCTCTTTTTTTGCAAGGTCCTGCTCTGTATAACATATACCTCTACATTTGAATTGAATGGGAGTTCAGTGTTGAAGATTGCTGAGGTAAGTGCCTCTGTCATACTGTGGCTTGTGTCTCTTAACTTTTCCCTGCTACCTACAGCATGACTTCCTTACATAACATGGAATTAAACCAGTCCAAAACATAACTACCATTCTCTAGTGTAAGAAATAGTTGCAAGTTGGGCAGGTTTGACGGGCTTGCATGGGAAGGCACTTTCGGAAATGGACCCATAATTGTATATTACAGTGTTGCACATTTACTACTCATATTTACTTTACTTTGCTTTTCTTCTTTATAAAACCGCACTGTGCTGATTTCTTACCTGCTTCAAGTCTAAAACTAATGAAGTTTCCTCAAGAGAGGTGTATAAGCCATAGTGTGTCATGTTAGCAGAAGTGCCTCAGTGTGTCGTTAGCCTTTTTCCTAAAACATCTTAGTAAAAGATTTAAGCATACCTGTAGATGTATGATGCTATTAGTCACTGCACTCCCTTTATTCCATTAGATTTTAGCCTGAATTAAATTGTGTAGGATCTTTTGTTGTAGAAAAACATACCTGCAGGTATATTAAGTAAGCTTTTATACGTGGGTGATATTTTTAGTACATTTTGTAGCAAGCCACAGTGTTGTTTGTTCAGGTTAGAGAAGATGCACAGGAACGCTTACTCCTCCTGCGCAGCACACACTGTTGTGTGCGGAACGTATTATAAAATTATATTGTTAACGTGGTATGGGCAGAGGAAATGTCCATGAAAAAAATTAAAGATTATGTATATGTCCTATATTCCAGGTGTCCGTAGACATATAGAGACTTGTTCCTTCTCAGGTTTTTGTTATTGTGGGTGGGACTTTTGTAAAAAAAGAAAAATCCCATGTGAAAGTAGCTCAATTTACCTGGATATTACAGTACTTTCCAAGTTTAAGAATATAATTGTCCTTGCATTGTTCTACGGGAAGCTGAGAATGGGTCTGTAGAGATAACCAGGAACTGAAGAAAACAGCTTCTATTTTGTAACAAATGGGCTTTAAAAGTCCACAGTTCGTGTATATGACATATACAGGAGAAAAAAAGGTAGTAATCGTTCCAGATTAGCACAGCTTTGGTTTCTCTTCGGGCTAGGTGAGACAGTAAGGTTTGCCTATGACGCTGCAGCAAGGATGAACTGAATTGGTGTTTCAAACAAGTCACAGTTCTTTAAGTTCTACTAAACCCTCTTTATCAGTGTCCCAAACTGAAGAAAACAGATTGCTTCCCCTACTGCAGTTTTTCTCAGTGGACTTTCTAACATGCAAGGCAAAAGTTGATGAATGCAGCTTAGTGCATCTCCTTGCTGTAGGTAAAGAGCTCTAGCTTAAATGAAGTACTTCCTGGGAAAAGTATTTGATGACTCTAAACCCTTCAGATTTTAATCTTTAAGAACACTGCCTAAGACTGGGGGGAAACGGTCAATCAGTTATGTTCTGTGTGCTATAAGCTGTATCAGAAATCATATTTTCTGTTCTCTGTGTAAATTTGGATAATAACAGGGCTGTTATTCATAAAAAGCATCCTGGAAAATGGCAGTTGTCTCTCACAGACATTAAACACGGCTGTTCTTGGTAGTTGCACTTCACTTTCGTTCCCAAAGGCTATCCTGGCTCTTAAAAACCTTAGCTAGTGTACTGATACAAATTAGCACAGTGATGGTTCTTTTCTGTTATGGTGAACAAGAGCTCAACAGCAGGCAGATGAGTTGTACCAGCAAAGCAAACGAAACTCATTTCCTTCAGTGAATTGGAACAAGCTGTAATACAGAGTGTTCATGTTTCTATTTGGAGTGTTTGGAGGTACAGTTATTTTCCCCACACTCCTTGAGAAAGTACTGCCTCAGTGAATGCCTAGGTCATTCTAAATAGCAAATCTTACCAGGCACATACATGCTTCTTCCTGCCCAGGTTTTAGGTAAGGCAAAGACTTTAACAGCTGGAATCACTGTGCCTTTGTATCTGAATTCTGCAATGAATAAGCAGTAGGAAACAGAAAATAATTTCTCAGTTTAGCATTTGGTTAACCTTCTGACTTGCTCTAAGGGAAAGGTGGCAAAAGGAGCTTTCTGTTCCAGTGCCCATGCTATTTGACATTTCTTTCCAAGTCAGTCCCCTAGTCCCTTTTCCTAGCCTCTGTAGCAAAGTAGTACTAGTACTCTGTAGCAAAGTGGGGCCACTGCAGAATTGGAAAGGTACTGCGTTTGTAACTGATAGTTACAACTGATAGTCCTCTGTGAGGACTATCTCTGAAAAACAAAGCTACAGTCTAGCCATTTTGCACTGCCTGATCATTTGCAATTCACATGTACAAAATAATGGCATTCCAAATCTTTCTGAACCTTATCAGCTTTAAATTAAGAAAGCATCCAACATGAAGAGTACTATCATTTGTGGCTTAAGTACTATTAGTATTGAAAATAGATTATTAGTATTAAAAATAAACTAAACCTTCCCCTGGGCACCTTCCCATGCTTGCATAGACACCTGCAAGAAAATTTAGTTCATGCTGTTTCTTGTTTTTATGTGCGTATCTGTTACTCCCCTGTACCTTTTGGAGGTTTGTTTTGTTTGACTCTGTTGTGTTTCATTAGCTAACCCTTCTGTGTTTTGCCCTTAGTTGTGTTTTGCATGCCATAGAGCTGGAAGTCCCCGAATGCATGAAATTATCAAAATGTCCATTACACGCCTCTTTGGAGCCCTGAGCTCTCGCATTTTTACTGATGCTTCTTCATCAATGACTTTTCAAAAGGTACCTTGCCCAGCCATTTAGAGCACAGGCCTTCTGTAAGATTGGAGCTCAAGTGGACAGTATTGTTGCTTACTAGCTCACGTGGGGAGGGGAGAGAAGAAGGAGATATCAACCATGTTCTTTCCAGAAAGTCAGCCTACCTTTAAGAATGGTATTTCATCAATTAATTCAGGTACTCTAGAAGAAAACTTACAGCTTGAAAGAATGATCTCAGCAGCACTGGAATGGTTTGGCCTCTGCAAAGGGCTGTACATGGTTAACGGGCTTTTAGGGTTTTTTTTGTTCATTGGAGTTCAGGTGATAGCTGAATGATGGGCAGAGTTGGTCCAGGCCTTCTTTTAACTTAGAAGACCATCTTCATCACTGACCTTAAACTAAATAAATCCTTTTAATATCTGGGGGGATCTTAGAACCTCAAAAAAGGGCAATAAGAATGAGACATTCTGTCAGTTTGGTCCCTTATATGCTGCAAATGCATACAACTAACCCATTCTACTGTGTTGTCAAAGAAGATAATCAGTCTCAGGTTCTCATTTGCATAGTATTTCTTGCATGAGATAATGAGCAACATACATACATTTGAAAACCTCTGGGATTCTCTCTCCCTGTTTAGTTGAGAAAGGGAAAATAAGGCAAGAGCTTCCATGTGTGATGTCTTGAATCACTCAAGATATAGTTTGTATTCAAGAAAAGTTGAAAAATTGGGGGATATTTACATTGCAGACATAGACTTGCAGGGGCTGGTTACAAGTAAGTATCAAGAAATGAACAATCAAATCCACATTTAATGAATTATCTACAGAGCAAGGCAAGTGCCAAAATCACTTGTATTTGACAGGAGACTTTTCCAGTTTTGCCCTACCATTCTTGCAGCTATGAGACTGATGAATTGCATGCTGCTTCTAGATACTACTTACTTGGTTTTTCATACTGCTGAAAACTTCTAATGTGCTAATAAAGCAATAGTAAGGAAGGCTGACTATCTGCATGCGAGAGACCTTGGTATCGATACCTCCTAAAATGTGTTACTGGTAAGTTACAGTTCATATCTTTGTACTACTATCTTGTTTCCTTATCAGGTTTGCATTGAGACATATGTATCTAGCTGTCACCAGCGGAGCATTAACACCGCTGTGCGGGCAACCCTCAGCCAAATGTTGAGTGACTTGACTTTACAGTTACGACAAAAGCAAGAAAACATGGTGAGCCTTCTGGCATCAACAAATGGTTCCATGTCCATGGCTGCATACCTTTTTGTTTCTCTGAATGCAGTGTGTTGTACTGGTTTGTTGTGCCTTATGGCTTTTATTTGACACTTCTGCAATTAATCCTGTTTAAAAGCTTTTTTTTGGGCTTCGACTCTGCCTGGCTCAGAGCAATCTATTGGAAACTCAGCTCTCACATTGTCAGCTCTGGTTGGCTGATTTTTATTTTTTTTAATTTTTTTTTTCCCCGTTCCATTAAACAAAAGAGGCTTTGTTCTGACATCAGACTGCCTTGGCCTTTTCCATTCTTTTGTTTTCTTTGCTTCTTTTCCTAAGATTCATTGAAATCCTTCTGCTAAAAGTTTTTGCATGACAAATATTTACATAAAGAAAAAAAATTCTCAACTAAGGAAAGTGTAATTGAGGTTTTTCTTCTACTTTTTTTTATAGAAGATAATTTTAAACTCATGAAATTCTTTGCTTGGTTGTTAGCAAAACAAAAATAATTCTATTTATTGCATTATTAGAATCCATAAGAGCTTTTTGAGTGAAATCCCAGCACATTTTTGGTGAAACTGTAAATATTCTGGGTACGCATGGATTTACATTGACTTTTTACATTCGTTAGTGCTGCTTTCCTTAATATCATATGGTCCAAAAAGTACTATTTGTAAAAGTCAGTTTCCATGTATTAGGAAATTTTAAGGACTGTAGTTGTGCAGATTATTTTCCTTACATCTGTCTTGGGTTAAGACAATCCCTTCTATTTTGGATTAGTAGACTAGATTGCTTTTATCCTACTGAGCAGCTGCAGACCAGAATTGCTCAGTTTAAGTAAACTTGTCTTCTGTTTGAGCTAAGTAGGTTCATTTTACTAGCCAAAATATTTACCAAAAACCCCACACAAACAAATACAACCAGTAGTTTTGAAACTTCAGTTTGGGTCTACAAATTTTGTTAGTTTTTGGGTCTTCAATTTGTTAGTTCTTTTCTTAGCTGAGGACTAGGTAAAAGCATATGAGAGCTGCATTTAATACCTGGCAGTTTGTTATTGATGCTTGAGAGAAGAATTTGGCTTGACCCCTTTGTGCACTAATGGGAAGAATCCTATACCACACCGCATGATGTAAGAGGTCATTTCCATTTCCTGACTGCCATTAATTCTGTTGGTACTGTAACAATAACAATGCCAATGTTCTAAACTCTCTAATTCTCAATTGATTTTGGTTTCTAAGTACTTTGTGAAGTCTAAACTATGATTTCCTCTTAGTTATTTTCAATGCGACTTACATGCCTAGTTATTACTAAGTTGTTTTAGGTGTAGAAAATCCCTTAAGAAGTTAGAAATTCTGGTTCAGCTCAGTGAGATGTGAGTTTCTTAAATCTAAATGACTGTTAAAACAGATCTTAAGGAATTTTTAAAAACATTTTACAAAAGCTTCACTTAAAAAAACCCTAACAAACAAAAAACCCAGAACAGACAGAGGACACGAATTTGTTGAGAAAGCTCTGCTGTCAAAGTATTGCTTCTATGGTATTTTTCTGCTCCTTGCACCAATTACACCACCTTTGTCTTTCCTTAACAGACAATTGAAAACCATGACACCCTGCAAAAATTCAAGAGTCAAGGTACTTGTAACACTTTTTTAGTGACTCCTTACACTCCAGCTTTTTTATTCTTAACTTTCCTTTCATCAACACAGTGCGGTTTGATGTCATGGGAATTGCACCTTCAGGTTTTTGTACCTTCTCCATAGCTTGATGTTCTTGATGTGGTAAGAACTGAGACAGCCCTGTTAGCTCCTGGTATATTCAGTTCTGTCTTCATTTGGACCATGGTAACAGCATTACATTCAACGTTGTAATAAATTATTGTTTCAAGATGCTAACTTCTGTAATTAAGGAGTTTCAGTGTTCTGGAGAAAGTTCTAGTAAGTGGCTTTACTTCCTAAATTGAAAGAGATTCATGGAGTAGGATGTGGAACCTGTAAATGATTGCGTTACTATATTTCAGGCCAAAGATACTGTTTTTATAATGCCTGCTTTTGAAAGCACATCACTATTGGAGGTGTGCTTACACTTGCCAAATAATTATTTTACAGGAGAATGTTTTTCTACTCCCATTCTGGCTTAACTTTCAACATGTTCTCTGATAGATAAAAATAATCCCTGGTTTTGACCTTCTCACAGGATTTCTACAGAACTTGTGTGAATGGAGGCTAAAATCTTTGAAGAGCACAAGCATCTTCTTTTAAGATCAGAACCTGGTCAGACACCAGAAGCTGTATAGGAGAGACAAACTGCAGGGAGAGATACAGCAATTGGCTGCCATGTAGAAATACTGGAGCCTTTTTTATTATTCAATTGTATACTTATTCTATTATCTGAATTGGATTTCAGCTAATCTTCTGTAAATGCATGTAAGCAATCAATGCTCTCTCTGGATTTAATACTGCTGCTTTTGCATTTTGTGGAGATCACTTTCTAATTTAGGACTTTTCCTACTGCATCTTCTCTGTCAATTTTGGTAGCCTTGCTCCTTGTTTGGAAGCTCTGACCAGATCTGAAAGTCCATGCAGTGAATTGAGGTTATAATCCAGTAGCTCATATGTAATGCCTCTGATCTTTATCCTTTTTGGAGGTACTTCAGTGGAGTCTCTTTGTGATGATGTTGTATCTGTCCTCACTGTGCTCTGTGAGAAGCTCCAGGCTGTCATAAAGTGAGTTATTTCAGTTTATAATTTCAATTTATTACCTGGAGTTTGAGAGTTTCATTGATACATGCGATTGTACTGTTGTAGTTCTGGAATTAGGGAGCAAAGCTGGGGTTAAACAAAGTGTTTACTAGAGGAAATATTGCTCATGATGCTTTCATTTAATCCTTGCTTGAAATAAGGAGTTAATTTGCCTTCTTTGTGCACTGTTCAGCTTTAAAAAGCTTCCAGTAAGTCTAACCTGTAAGGTACTTCCATACAGCAGCAAAATACTTATCAAAGGAGAAGTTTTCTGGCTGGAAGCAACTGTCATAGAAAGAATAACAAGAGCCATGGAAAGACCTAACAGAAACTATATTCAGAACAAATTAATATATACTTCTTAGAAAGGCACCATTTATCCAGTTGAAGTAATTTGCTTTATCAAAGAATTCCTTAAATTTAGGAATATCATACACTCTACTTACTTGGAAATGCATGAGCATAACTTTAAAATGGGGTTGTTATGGGCAGTAATAGAGTGTTATATGCTCTACAATTTTCAGGAACTTACAGAGCCAGAAACAGCACAGACATCTGTGTGCAAATTTTCTATAGACTTTCTCCCACAAGTGTCTCTAATTACAGCAAGATTTGAAAGGGAAGAGTGCCTTACTTAGCATTATTTAATCAGTATCAACATATGTGAAAATAAAATCAGGAGTGCAGGGATGCCCTATGCATGACCATGCGAGTGTCAACTGCAAGATGATGATGATGATCTGCATTAAGGCACATTGTAAGAAGTGTATCAGTTCCAGGCATCCACAGGTCCTTTAGTATGCTTTCTCATGAAGTTTCCTTTATATTTTTGGTTCTGACAGAGTAACTGGCAAGGCCCTGAAAGGTAGCTATGTTATCATGCAACTTTCTGCCTGTAGACATTGACTTCTGACAATTGTGGCTGTCACCAAGAAAAGAGGAAAAAATAACCAGAAGAGAGCAGCCTAAATGTGCTTCAGATTATCTGAAGACACTATCCAAGTTCAAAATCCTCTATTGTCTCCTTTTCCTCTAAGGCTTCCTACCTTTTCAAGTTTAGATTGAATTTGAGTCGTTACTTCTGTTTTATTCTTCCTCTTTTTTTCACTGAGATTTTTTTTAAAGTAGCAGATCACTGCATGTGGTCAGTACAAAATAAATGGGATGATGGTGATCACACCCTTATAAATGGATAGAAAGAAGCAAAATAAATAAAATACTGTAAAGTATGGTATAATTTTCAAGTGAACTTAGTTATTTTAGAAAATTAAATAATCTTTGTTTTAATATGATGTGAATGGGATCTTTTTGCCAGCGACAATCGGCAACTTCAGCTTCTTTACTTGGAGTGCATCCTTTCCATGTTAAACAGCTTCTCTCCCAGCATGCACCAGCACAAAGGATTCACTGATCTAATATGGTGAGTACATCTGAAGACTAATGCAAATACTAAGTTTGTAAATATAAGAGGACCTTCTCCCCCAGCCATGCAAACAAACCTGTAATAAGCCTCCAGATGTGAGCAGAGCTTGATGTTAACGTACTGTCAGTTCTTTGTGTGCTTCATATAAGATTGGGTAGGACCTTCTGCTTAGCGAGCACATTAAATCCTGGTAGTGAATTCCTGTAATGAAGTCCAGTGTATTTATCCAGAACAGAAAATCTATTATGCTTTCTGCACTAGTTTGGATTTGTGTGTGGCATTAAACACAAAGATATTCTGCTTGTCATAGGAGTGTCCTGTAGAGATTCTTACTGGTCTGATGCAGTAATGCAGGAAGATAAGCAAAATTAATGTCAAGTGATGGGCTGGTGACCAGAAATGCTTATGACCTGCATTGTGTAAGGGCTGAGGCTAAAGAATCTTCATGATGCTACCCCTTTAATCAAGAAATTCTCTTTTTTATATACTTCACCAGAAAGGCTTGATGTCTTCAGTGCTCATATCTACCTCTAAATTGTTTGATACCATTACCTCAGAGCACCTTAAATAATCCTTTTCCTTCTTTTTATTTGAAATAGTGGAGTTTTTATAGCCTGTGGATAATTGAGTCATAGTAATAAAGCAAGAATGTAGCTAATATGCAGTTCCTTGCAGTCCATGCCCATCTTGTGACTTTGTCAGGTGATTGTATTAAGGAAAGATATATGTGACTGTTAATGGCAAATGTGTTTCTTGTACTTTTACTGTGTAATTTTTCAAATTGAAGTGTTTGACCTGGGCCCAATTCTAAGGATGGAATATGTAATGGCACCCATAACTTCCCTTACTGTCCCAGGAACATCAGTGACTGCTGGACTGGGAGGTCTTCAGGTTGATAACACTTGGCAGTGTTGCACAGGGACCCTGTGCTGAGGCCTCTTAGAGCTCTAACGTAAGAGCAGAACTCTCTTTTTCATGAAAAATCCACTTCAGAAGTTTCTGCCTTTGAATTTCACCCAACCCTTTGTTTATGCTTATGTGACTGACTGTGGGGCCATCGTATAAGCAAGGTCACTGAAATGATCTTGGTTAAAAGAAAACACTTCCTGTTTTATTTTAAGTCTGCATCATTTTGATGATCCAGTTCATGCTGCAAATCTGCAGGTGTTTGTAACTGTGTGCCTTCAGGGCAACCCACCAGGGCTTCTTCAGGGACTTCTTAATCTGCATTGGTGCCAAGGAATATGCATCCTTCCATCCTGCTTAAAGTGGGAGGAAAAAAACCCAAAGCACTAGGAAGACATGAAACAGTTTAAACTGCAAACATCGTTTTGAATATATAGTAGTATAAGTACACACCAAACATTACCAATCTGGTGAAGTTGTGATCCTAACTGGTAGCTGTTGTTATTCTTAAATGAGCCGTTGCCTAAATGCACATACACAGCTTTCTCTCTGACTGGTGCTTTATAGTCAGTTCTCAACAGAAGATAAAGAAGGGAGCGGACAGAGAAGATTTACCTCTGTTCTTCTGACAGTGTTCTCCATAGTTTGATACAGATACACTTTGATAGGACTAAGATATTTGGGGAATATATTGGTGTTACAACCTGTGATTACACCTACTTTGAGACAGGCACATTTCTTTAAACAATAAGTGTGAATTGATGTGATTTGAAATGTTCCTGGTTGGAGAAATAAATAAGCAGACTTAAAGTCATTATCTGATTCTGATTAAAGCTGTTTTTCTTTCTGTGACTTCAGGAAGCCAAGCTGCTTCAGCAATCATGTTAAGAGAAGCAACAAAAATTCTGGACTGCATAAAAATCTTGAGAAAATAAAATGTACTTACCTGTGAGGATATATTTACAAATCGTTACCTGTCATTGGGTGCTTGCTCTAGGTGCTAGCTTGAACCTCTGAGACATGGGTGAAAACCAAGTTTGGGACTCATTCTAATGCAGCACTTGGCTTCATAAATTAAGGTCTTGCAGACTGAAGTAAAATGTCAAGTGCATGAGTGCAAAGCTGAAATAACAGCTAATGGAGGAAAGTGCTGAGTTGGCTTTGGCTCTGCCAAAGAAGAGTGATCTGCTGGTGTTGAATCACTTGAGTGCTCATGCAGAAAGACAGTTGATTATTTAGTGTATAGTGGCATATGAGTAGTTATTGTGCACACTTTGAGTTATTGCGGACAGCTTTAATTATGTTTTCAAAAGCCAGCTAAACAGAGTCTCACAGCTAAGGGTGCTTACTAAAATACATGCATGTGCAGTTCAGTGGTGGAACATTAGGTCTTCTAGTTAACATAGATTAGTACTTGTTTGGTCAGGTTTTTTAAAGCTCCTGAGTTGGACTGAAGAAGAGATACTTAGCAGTAGAAACCTGGAATTTCTACCTTGCCATCATGTTTCTAAAGCACCCAAAGGTATTTCCATATGTACTATCATGCTGATGCTTGGGAGATGAAAAAAGCCTGGCATAATTTGTTGTTCTATCTAAACACTGCTGTTGACTGATCATTAAAACAAGAGCGTGTTATCTCATTTAACCATGGGCTATTTTCAATCTGTTCTTGTGAGATTATTTTTTTCTGTTTACCATCTGCTGCTGTTCTCTTTCTCAGGAAGCAACTGTGTCCAGCCCTAGTAGTAATCTTGGGAAATCCAATCCATGACAAAACTATCACCTCTGCCCACAGCAGCATCTGTCTTGAGGCTGATTCACCTTCCTCAGGGATCTCTGATCATGGCCGAGGTTCAGGTTGTTCCTCCACAGCACCTGCTCTTAGTGGGCCCGTTGCACGGACCATATATTATATTGCAGCAGAACTGGTTCGATTGATGGGGTCAGTGGAATCCATGAAGCCTGTGCTACAGTCTCTATATCACCGGATTTTGCTTTACCCACCACCTCAACATCGAGTAGAAGCCATCAAAATTATGAAAGAGGTAGGATAATCACATGTCCAGGCAGGTAAAGCAAAATGTTTATTTAACAGTAAATGTTGCTGAAATGTGTATACCAATCCATTTCAAACCTTCCCACCTAGGGATGTTGAAATCGTCCTTTCTGAGCAGAGCTGTTACATCAACACCACGCTGACAAATATCTTTAGTTTTATGAAGCCATAATAGCTCTATTTTTCTCCATAATGCAAGTTACTGTGGCAACTCCGTCAGTGTTTGTGCTGTGGTACTGCATGGAGCAGATCCTATCGCTGCATCATGACTGCTCCTTTGGGTGAGATAGAGCATAATGAACCAGTTTGCAGCTTCTTTGGCATCTTTCCCCACTCTCTACTCTTGCTAGAAGGAAACATTCATCTTCACAATGTAGTTTCCAGGCATTAAGGTGGATATATGCTTTGATTACTTGCCATTTTTTTGAACTACAATTTCTTTGAGCATTTTTTGAATAGCCACAAGGAAGCTGCTAATGGCTTAAGCAGCCATTTCAAGACCACTCCTTTCTGGCCTCTTGCCCAGTGCCTCTGAGAGCACTAGAACTGGAGCACACTGAGACTTGTTTGAGCACCAGCTGAAATCGTGGACTCTTCCATTCCACATGGGAGCTTTCTTCTCATGTTGTGTAACACAAGGCAACTTACGTAATTTGTAGGAACAGTGGTATCTCTTAGAGAGTTTTTCTTCTAGCTTCTGCATACCTAGGCTGTTCTGTTTCTGAAGATCTCTCTTAACACCACACAGCCACCCACTCCGTTTTCTGAACTAGCAGTCATCCTTTCATTTGTCTTTCTCTGGTTTTAAGTAGTAGCAAGATGATAACTGAAGTTTTAGGAAAAGCTTAGTCTAATGTTGTTTCCTGCAGGATGTATCTGTTGCCTCTTTGGGCTTATTAATACGTGCTCGTTTGTAATGCCTTCTCATTGTATTTCATGGTGGGCATTAACAAGGTGCTACCCAGCAGGTTGAGTCTGAAGGAATGCCCATCTTTTTGGTTCTTTTTGGTATAAGCTATATGTTTATTTAGGCATAAAAATTCTCTTGAGTGCAATATCAATTGAAACATATTCAGTCAAAAATATAAAGCACCGAAGAGCATTCTGTATGTGATTTTTGCTGAATATTCTGCTCTTCTCTGTTTGCTTTTCTGCTTTTAAAAACAGGAATGGTACCTTTAATAAATAGAACATCAGTGTGCTGCTTTCCTTTGCTGTGAGAAGTTACAGCACTGCTGCCTCGGGTTTAATGCTTGATAGAATTATGACTTACTTATTGTATTTAAATAATGTTTAGATAATCCTCTACTTACTTCTGTTTCCTTTTCTTTCAGATACTTGGCAGTCCTCGTCAGCTTTGTGATTTGGCAGGGCCCTGCTCTTCTGAATCAGAATCCAAGAAGAAGTCTATTTCTAAAAGGAAGTCCCATCTGGATCTTCTCAAGCTGTATGCTTTGTTTCCTCCCGTAGCCTCTTCTCTCTTAAGCCTGTGCACGCAGGACACTTAAGCAGTTGTACCTTCAGGAGCATACCCAATATGAGCCAGGGTATCTCCCTGGTTAAATAAGCTGTGAAAATGGAAAAGGGGTAAAAGCTCTTACTGGTTTGTCATCACTCTGAGCCTATTTGTAAAGGCATAGATAACTACATTGTGGAGTTTTTAAAAATACCCAAATATGTTGGTTTACAGTTGGAAATTTTTGGCTATGAGTCCCTAAACTTGCAATGAAATAACTGTGTGTTTATTTAGAGGTACATTTCCGAGATGAAGTCAAAGGGGATCATAGAAAATGTAAACATTGTCAGATTGAGCAAGAAGGGTAGTCAGCTCTTGTAAAGATCATATCTTGTAGACAAAATAATTTTCAGGACACAGATCACTTTAAATTTAGTTCATTTGGGTGCTGAGATTTTTTTTTTACAGTTTAAGTGCTTGTCTCTAAGGGAGAACATGCTGTGCATGCTGGTATAAATGCACAGTAACTGTTTCCCTGGTTGGCACTTTGGCACTCCCTTTACAGAATGGCCATGTTTACATGAGATACTTAATAATTTGTTCTAATACTGATTGTCTTTCTTGGGAGTAGTCCTATAGGATAAGTTCACTTCATTTTTTTCCTGGTTATGGAGGGATGGTGTTGAATGACAGAGATGTGCTCCTTATAGGTGTTGCATCACTTAAATGAACTCTGTATTGATTGCAGTATCATGGATGGGATGACGGAAGCGTGCATCAAAGGTGGTATTGAAGCATGTTATGCTTCTGTGTCCTGCGTCTTTGCCCTGCTTGGAGCATTAGATGAGCTGAGCCAAGGGAGGGGTCTTAGTGAAGAGCAGATCCAGCTGCTGCTCCAGCGCTTAGAAGAATTGAAGGATGGGACTGAAACGAGCAGGGACTCCATGGAAATCAATGATGCTGACTTCAGGTGGCAGAGGCGCATCCTGTCCTCAGAAAATCCTGCCTGGGAATCAGGAAATGAGAAGAGTCCTGATATTAGCATTAGCGTTACCACAGACACTGGTCAGACTACTTTGGAAGGGGATATGGGACAGACGACTCCAGAGGATAATCCAGAAAGTCAAAAAAACTCACTGGCATCTCCAGCTGGACATGAAAGCAAAGAGATTCATTACAGAGAACCAGAGTCAGAAACCATTGACCAGCCAGATGTTGTTCAAAGAAGCCACACCATAGTCTATCCAGATATAACTAATTTCTTATCAGTTGATTGCAAGACCCGGTCCTATGGATCCAGATACAGTGAAAGTAACTTCAGTGTAGATGACCAGGACCTTTCTAGGACTGAGTTTGATTCATGTGATCAGTATTCCATGGCAGCAGAAAAGGATTCAGGCAGGTCTGATGTCTCAGACATAGGCTCTGACAATTGCTCCCTGGCTGATGAGGAGCAGACACCACGGGATTGTCCAGGTCACAGGTCCTTGCGTACTGCTGCTCTCTCTCTGAAATTGCTGAAAAGCCAAGAAGCAGACCAACACAGCGCACGGCTGTTTATCCAGTCACTTGAAGCTCTCCTTCCTCGGCTTATAGCTCTTTCCAGCATAGAAGAAGTGGATGAAGCACTGCAGAGCTTCTCTTCAACATTCTGCTCAGGTTTGCAAGCAAATACTTACTGTCTAACCAGCATGCACACTCTGACAGCGCTGTACACAGAGTCTCCTGTAGGATTTCATCTTCAGAGAATATCCAGAATAAGGAGGTTTGGGCTTTACAGAATACATTCCTTCACAGCAACACACTTCATTTAGGGCAAAGCAAATTGAATATGCAGTCACTGATTCAAAGTGAGGTCAATCCATTGACTCTTAACAGGCTCTGGATTACATCCTCGATAAAGAAATGAAATTTTCTGTAGTAAAATACCTCTTCCCATGTCTGTAAAGATCTGTTGAGAAGATTTGCGCATGCTGTTGTTAAAGAGGTTGGGGTTGCCTTTTAGCATGAAAGGGATGTGGGGAATACCATCACCTGTTTTGAATGAGATTTAAGTACCTCAGTACATCACTGCATTACTGTTAATAATGCCAACCTCACGAGAAAGGTGATAACAGCAGTAAGCTCTTGAAAGGATAGGAAAAGAGGAGAGGCACTATTCTTCACTCTTCTGTTTTTCTTAATGTTGTTGTCTAATATAACAGGAAATGCAAAGCTCAAAGCCCAGATAAAGTGAAAAATTAAGATCTTGCCTTTTAAGAGTTTAAATACCTTCAGTTCTTTCATGGTTAGAACCTTTGGGATCTTGACTTGTCAAACAAACAGAAAAAAGTCATGTAAAGGCTAGTTTGTCTTGTTGATAGTATATTTAAAGTGTGTGTAAATATATATATTTAGAAGCATTTTGTTCTCCTGACAGTGGCCAAAGTGGAAATGTTTGCTAAAATATATTTCTCTGTTTCTTTAACTTACTTTACCGCAATTGCCATTCCTATTGCTCCTTTCCTAATCATTGCTTCATTCATTTGTGCTCCCTCACATTAAACTCATACAGAGTCAGAAGGGCTGCCTCCCATCACCATACAGCAAAATTTAGATATGAAGCTGGGCAAATAAGCTGATATTCCTGATATCCTGCTTAAATACTGCCCAATTAAGCTCTAATTCAGGAAGATGACAGATGGTATTCTTAAGAAACATTAGCCATTTTATATTATAGAAAGGAAATACCCTAAAGGAGGCAATAATGTTACTTTCCTAATTGAGGCAATCAAGAGTGCCCTTTCTGTCATGAAGATTTCTTTTACCTGAAAAAGAGTGATCTTGAGTTTATACTGAAAGACCAGTGCTAGACTTCTAGCTCAAACTTTTGTGCACGTCTTCCCTCACGCATGAATGAGTATGCTGTTTCTTTTCTGTTTTGTCTGTTAAGTCTTTTTAGAGTGTTTTAAAGCACTGGAAGATGTGGACCTAGGAGACTTCCAGATTTTTAAGGCTAAACATAGGTTTTTTGTACATATCTGTTAAAAAGATACCTAGTCTTGGACTTAGACTGTTGAGAGAGACCTTTCACTTTCCTAAGAAAGCCACGCATGACTAAATCTGTACTTTAAAGATGTACACCATGTTTCCACATGGATTTGGTGAAGTACTCTTAGAAGATGCCACTCATTAAGGAGTCATGGAAAAGTAGAGCAGCAAGTTACTGTATTAAGACATCCTAGAAGAGGTATTCTTGGCTTTTCATGGAGATGTGGCTGACGCAGAGTTGTACTTTTGTGCTCTCGTAAGATCTGTGTGGTTCCTGTTTCAGTTGGATACCTGGAATGAGACTCAATCCAGCTGAAACAGTCCTTTAACTTGTATATCAGATCTTAAGTGAATGTCCATCAGTCCTCCTGAGGTGAGAACTTGTGTTCCTGTGTATGCGAGAGAACCATGAGTTTGTAGACCGGTTAGAGAGAGAGACTTACTAAAGTTGAAACAAACGTCAGGGGGTAGGAACACCCCTTGGAGAGCTTCCAAGACACCTATCTGATCTGCCTCTATAAGCAACGTTGAGGTCCTTATTTCAGGAGTCCTTTGTTAGCACCAGCAATTCAAGGCACAAATTTTAGGTGATGAAGTTAGAGGGACTGATCCTATTCATTCTATATACAACAGCTATTCATGTGTAATTCTTGAAGAATACATTAGGAAATTTGAATATTTCTTAAAATTCAAGTTGAGAAAAGAAGCAGGTGCAGTTCTGAGACCAGTCAGAACAGAAGCAATATTTTTGTGTTTCTGGGAGACCTTATTTAACTGCTTTATTTCATTTCCCAATTTCTTTACACTTCTGGGGAAAAATATGATTTAGTAGTCTTTCCTACAAACTAGGTTCTTCGATAGCACTTCAATATTAGTATGTTTTCATAGGATTGAAGAGCAATGAAAGGAGGTAGGAATTTGAGGGACTGCCATGGGACTATAAGCATTGAAAAAGTGAAGTCAGCTAAACAGAGTTATAGTGAAATTAAGATTTGCAAGTAAGCTAGTTAACTCCTAAATTAACACCTTAGGAATAAGTTCGCACCTCTTTTCAGTTTTGATTCCATAGTTTTTAGAGGCAAGGTTTCTGTTGGTAGCATCAGCTGATCTTCTGCTTTTGAGATCTCAGAATCTCTTAAATGCAGTTTATTTCCCCATATTTTAGAGGAAACTGGGGATCATATTTTTCCTAAGCACTTTTTGGTGCTACTAATATGTAGTATCCACTTTTCTGTGCAGTTCTACACCTTCCTTTTTAATTGTAGTCTTGTATTGTTGCACAATTTTTAAAATATTTTAATGCAAAATAGAGTGGGCTTTTTTGTGTTGTTTTTTTTTTTTTTCTTTTACGTACCTCTCTGCCTTGAGGTTTTTATTACTCTAGCAGATTCTAGTCTTAAAGATAAGACATCAAATCAATGAGAGTTAAGATAGCCACATCAATATCATGATCCTCCATCCAACAAAGTATTAAGATTCATCTTTGCCTTCAGCGATGAAATCACTAGAGCTACTCACAGGCTACTTTCAACCACGTGGTTGCAGTTTTGGTTAAAGATTCTCTGTTAATGTTCACCATGAGAAATCTACCCCAAGTACATGCCAGCCTGTGTGGGTATGGTTTGTAGCCAGCCCTATCACTCCTCTTCCACAAAGGTTGCTCCCTTGAACAGTTATTCATCTTTTAGACCCACCCTGGAACAGTTACTCTCTTTCTAAATCCACCCTCAAACAGTTACTCACCTTATCCACGCCCCCAAAGTGACGACAGTGGAAAGTCCGAGAAGGCAGCAGCACAGAGCTTTCAAACCCTCACGAGGCAAGAAAAACATTTGCTTCTTTTCTGTGTGTGGATTTTTTTTTTTAATGTTAATAGTTTGTTGTATTTTGTCTAAGAAGAGATGTGAGCTTTATGGTGGGAGGAGTATATTCACGGTAAACCACTGCAGCAGTTAACAAATGACACAGCTTTGCTACATCATGTAACTAACCTTGGAAGCTGTTTTTTGTTTCATTTCAAATGTTCCTCTAGGATAAAGCTTACTCCTTGATCTTCACTAATTGACATTATATGAATGGATTTTACAGTTGATGTGAAAACCATGAAATACTGTGAGTCATGTGGAGGGATCTAATATTTCTTGTTTTTTCATGGCTCAAACTATAGATCATGGAGATTCAATTAGGTGTTGCTCATACTTGATTTATGTTTTTCTACCAGTAGGTCAGCTAACTCAGAGGAAAATGTATGTGCCATCCATGGGAAGAAGGGATTGTGCCACATGGTTGTAGGCTGTCATTTCATTCCAGTAGTGTTTTCAGTGCTTATAGGTGTCTTCTTGGTCTGACAGAACTGAAAGTGCTCAGCCATTTACAAAGTAGGTCTTGTATGAACTAAGTAGGGCTTGGAGTTGTAACAAGTTCCAGCCAGCTTGGCCCCAGGTATCTGTCCACATACCTCTAGACCATGGAGAGAATGATGATTACAGCCTGATTGCAAGGTGCTGAGCACTCCAGTCCCCATCCAACAACTGATTTAGCCAGAACGGATTTACTGGCGGGTTAAAAGGGCTATTAACCTCATTAGCACCATTTGGTAAAATATTCTCAGTTAAATACACAGGCCTTGTGTCTGCCCCTTCACACCTCACCTTTCCAGTTGGCATTGCAGATGTATCCTGCCCTTTGCTTTGTACCTGGCAGTCATCCCAATGAATGGTGCTGCTCCTTGAGTATTTCAAATTTAGCATGTTGCTTTGCTGGACTGTGACTGAAGTGTTCAGTTTGTCTTGTAGCACTGCATTCTAGATGAACCACTTATTTTTCTGTTCCCTGTTCTAGTACATTTAGTAATTTTTACTGATGACTCATTAACTATTCTAGCAATCTATTGCTGCCAAAATGCTAGGAATAGTTTCTGATATTTTTTTCCAGGAAAAATCTGTGTAAAATGTGAGAGCTCACATGGTGTTTTTGTTAGGTATGATGCACTCACCAGGATTTGAGGGAAACCTAAATTTCAACTTCCAAACTCTGATGAATGCAGACAGTCTCTACGTGGTATCACATTACACTCTGCTGCTTAACCTAAAATTGGCCAACTCAGATTACTACAGGAAGAAGCCTGCCCAAGCCCCTGTGCTGCTGGTGAGTTGGGGAATATGGGAAATCTGTTTAAAAAAAAATGAAGATTTATTTTGCTTCCCTTCACATAAGCCAGCCCACACATAAAGCCTTCAGGCTGCTCGCTAAGTGGAGAAATAGTAATTGCAAATGAAGCGTTCTCCAGACTGCTTATGAATCTTGCATGATAAATGTCATGCATTTGAATTACACAGCTTCTCTGTAATGTGGAGGAATGAATGCTGCTTACTGATTGTCATTAAAGTTGCAGTCGTTTTGATGGATCAACTGTTTTCCTTGGCATCATGTGATATAGCAAGTATTGTCTCTTGATAATGGGCATAAACATACCTTCATCTTGCAACTACTTTTGAGCCTGATGGGCCCAATTGCTGGACAGGCAGAGTTAGGTACCACAACCTCTTTTTGTTGGATTTGAGATCCTACTCCTACCTTGTGAAAATAGTGAGAGATCAGCATGTCCTATTGTCACTGTGCAAGAACTGTCATTCTGGTTTGCATTAACTGCAATAGGAAAAGGGAGAGCTCCTTGTTCGTGCCATTCTCCACTGTAGAGACACATACAGGAGGATCTGGACAGGCTGGATCAATGAACCAAGACCAATTGTGTGAGGTTCAATAAAGCAAAGTGCCAGATGCTGCCCTTGGGTCACAACAACCCTGTGCAGCACTACAGGCTTGGGGAAGAGTGGCTGGAAAACTCCCTGGCAGAAAAGGACCTGGGGGTGCTGGTTCACAGCTGGCTGATCATGAACCAGCAGTGTGCCCAGGTGGCCAAGAAGGCCAATGGCATCCTGGCCTGTATCAGAAACAGTGGGGCCAGCAGGACCAGGGAAGTGATTCTTCCCCTGTACTCGGCACTGGTGAGGCTGCACCTCAAGTGATGTGTTCAGTTTTGGGCCTCGCACTTCAGGAAAGACATTGGGGTGCTGGTGCATGTCTGGAGAAGGACAGTGCAGCTGGTGAAGGGTCCAGAGAGTAATTTGTATGAGGAGTGGCTGAGGGAGCTGGAGTCGTTTAGTCTGGGGAAAAGGAGGCTCAGGGGGACCTTATTGTTCTCTACAGCTACCTGAAAGGAGGTTGTAGTGGGGTGGGGATCAGTTTCTTCTCCCAGGTAACAAGTAACAGGACAAGAGGAAATGGCCTCAAGTTGTGGCAGAGGAGGGTTAGACTAGATACTAGGAAAATTTTTGCATGGAAAGGGTTTCAAAACACTGGAAAAGACTGCCCAGGGAAGTGGTAAATTCACCATCCCTGAAAGTGTTCCAAAAGCGTGTGTGTATGGCACTTGAGGATATGGTTTAGTGGTGAACATGGCGATGGTGCTGTTCACTGCTGTTTGACTTGATGATATTAAAGATATTTTCCAACCTTAACAATTATATTATTTCAATCCTCAGTTAATTCTTATCTTTGCATAACTTCATTTCTACTTCTGCAGTCCCTTACTCAGAGTAAATTTGGCAACTGAGGCTCATGTGTGGGGCTTACTGTTGTCTTACATCTGGCTTTTATGGTTCTCTGCAGAAGGAGTTCATGAAGCAGGTCCAGTCCAGTGGAGTGTTGATGGTATTTTCCCAGGCCTGGATTGAAGAACTGTACCACCAGGTGCTAGAAAGGAACATGCTGGGGGAAGCTGGATACTGGGGAAGCCCTGAGGAGCACAGTCTTCCACTTATCAGCATGCTGACTGGTCAGTACTATATTATGGTGGCAAGGCTAACTTCAAAACACGTCTAAAACAAACTGCAATGACACACTGCTTCATTGCATTACATACAAAATGTGGTGTTTCAGGAAGTTGTCAGTAGAGAAGGAACCAGACTTAGCTGTGGCAAGTACTTAAATGTTTGGTTTGGATCATCAGAATGCTTTTGAAGTGTGGGTTTAAAAAAATCAAGCCTGTCTGTGGGAGACAGGGAGAGTAGTTTTGTTCATTGAATCAAAACATCTCTTATTTCTGTCAGCTTCAGTTCTGGTAGACTTAATGATAAGCAATAAGGCTGCTGTTTTCTTGATGTCATAGCAAAGCCATTTCAGTGTGTCTGTGGTGCAGTACCGATATAGTGACATCTGATCCTGAAAGCCTTCCACAGATTGGACTCCCCTTGGTTCAGATTTGTTCTATGCCAGCGATATGCCAAATGGCACTACAGAGAAACTGAAAACCTGGAGCACCTCTAACAAATGCTTAAAAACAATCCTTAGCTTCATTTGAAGGAAAAAAATCAAATTGTATCAGTTGAAAGACAGCAGGATGGCTATGATATTTTATTGATATAAAATGCACTGTGTACTTTAATGTGTAGGTAATTAAACCAGTATATGTAGGGAGAACCCTGGCTTCAACTGAGCCATTAACTGGTAATCAAAGGGCATTGCTCTGAAAGTTTTTTGCTGATTGTACTGAGCTCAGTGTTATTTTAGCTATTGAGCTAAAAAGCTGAAAGAAACACTTTGGAAAAACAATAACCGTGAAGTGTGTGGAAAAGGGACTGCTAGAAATCAGCCTGGTGTCCCTAACATTAAACTCTCTGTGAAAAGCTGATCTTTTATTGTGTTGGAGAAAGGGTTGTATTTCTGTTGTCGAAATTAAACCTACACAGGTCTCCTAAAAATTGCTTTTAAGACATAGATTCCAGTGCATCTTGAGGACTCAGACTGAGGTCTGGGAACATCTAGATACAGGATTTAGCAAGATTTAAAATTTTATACTAAGAAATGCATAGATTTAAGTGTGTGGTAAGTTCTCAACTGTAAGAAATATCATTATATCTTTACTGGGAGTTCCGTTCATTGTGTAACTTGGGGAGCAGGGTGGTGAGGGCCAGCTTTTGAGAGTGGGATATTTCCCCTCTTCAACAAAACACTGGTTATTATGGGCAAAGCATAAAATGCCACAGCTCATGTTTATGCCAAGGCTTCAGTAAGCTGCCAGAAAGAGTAATTAAAAAGCCTGAGAAGACAGGAGTGATAGCACTTACTTGAACAAAGAGCCAGTAGGAGATACTTTCCTTGTACCATCTGTGTGTCAAATAGTAATCTGATGTTTTTTAATGTTCTGGCAGACATCGATGGCTTGGGAAGCAGTGCAATTGGTGGCCAATTGATGGCATCTGCTTCAGCTCAATCTCCTCTTTCCCAAAACCGGAAGACAGATGATTCTGTTGTTGCAGGTATTAAGACTGTACTATAAGTGCAAGTGTGTCTACCAGCAGTGGGTTGTTATATACCAAAAATATATTTGGATAAATTGTGTAGAATAACAATTTAAGGGCTGAGGAAAGTATATCAGTACATTGTACATGAACTACTCGTTCAGTGTGCAAAAGACAAATGTGACTTGGTTTTTTACCACTGATGATAAAGCTGCTGTTATGTGCAGTTGTAGTAGTTACTACTACTACATTTTCCAGTAGTAGTAGTAATGTTTTTCCCACTCCAGGAGTTGCTTTTGCCCGATACCTTTTAATCGGCTGTTGGAAGAACTTGATTGACACTTTGTCCACCCCACTGACCGGCCGCATGGCAGGCAGCTCCAAGGGGCTGGCTTTCATCCTGGGAGCAGAAGGAGCCAAGGAGCAGAACCAAAAGGAGAAGGACTCCATCTGCATGAGCCTGGATGGATTGAGGAGGGCAGCCCGGCTGAGCTGTGCTCTAGGTACTGTTGCATGTGGGATGCCCTGATAGACTCATAAAATAGGATGGTAACTTTCCTAGAAGGATTTGGGGAGAGAAAAATGCAGCATGCAGTTCCAGTTTTGGATAGGAACATGGATTGTGGCAATCCACATAGAGTGCATCTGCCCTACAGCATAGATATAGCCACCCAACTTTCCTTAACACTGTCTCTTGTTGAGTTTGCATGGGACTGGAGAGGAAATGTTGGTCAAACAGTAATTGTGTTGTTGCTTTACAGGAGTTGCTGCTAATTGTGCATCTGCTCTTGCCCAAATGGCTGCTGCCTCCTGTGTCCAAGAAGAGAAAGAGGAAAAAGAAATCCAAGAACCCAGTGATACTATAGCTCAAGGTAACTATGTGATTAAATTGCCTAACTAATATTGCCTGCAAAAGTGCAACTGGAAAGCACTTTGCCACACATAGTGGCATTCCCCTCTGTCGTTCTTCTACTGAGCACCACTCACTTGTAGGCATATGGGATGTATATCTTCAGTACATGTTCTGCTGTCCTAGGTTCTTAACATTATGCCCCACTAATTATATTTAAAATGCAGCTGAAATCAGTGGAACAACAGATAAGTCAACAACATCTTTAATGTGTGCTTTTTAAGCCTTGTGATAGTAGTACAACTAGAGGGCATCAAAAGACCAAATTATTTGGGGTTTTTTATGTGTTGGGTAGTAATATAAGCTGAGTTTGTCTCCTTCTCCCTGTCCTGTGTATACATCCTTGGTTGTCTTTCATCAGATTGTCAGATATTTAAAACTGTTTCTGAATCATGTTAAATGAAAACAGAATAAAAAATATATCTTTATAACATCTAAAAAGTTCTCCATCTCTATACCACCACCTCAAACTCAGTGGAAGTCAGTAAAGTCAATTGTTGTCTCCAATGACTGTTTGGAGAAGTACATAAAGTTTGCCTGATTACACTTGATTTATAATGGCAAGAAGCCCGTAAGAAAACACAGTGTTGCATGAATGACCCTGCTTGGCCCTTAAATTTGGTGTTTCAGTAGAGAAAACAAAACTGAAAAAGCCTGAACTAAAACAAGCTTTTGATCGCTCTGCTAGATATGGCTGCAGTGCCTTGACCAGGCCACGCTGAAGCAAAGAGGAGGCAGCAGCAGTGGCCAGAGGCCAACAGATCTGTTCTGTGTAAGCTTGCAAAGCTTCAAAATTTGATCCTTTCTGATGCAGCATGAAAACTAAGCTTTTCAAGGATTCTCAGGAAAAAAATGGGTCCAAACGCTTGTAGTTCAGATCAAGATTAGTTTTGCTTTGAAAAGAGTATCCATTAACAAAAACTCTTTGGTGAAACTCTTGTATGGGAATGGATATGAAATCCCCAAATGCTTTTTTTTCCATAGCAAAGAAGATTTTGTTAAAAATAAGTAAATAGCCAGCCAGCTGTCTCTTAAGAGAAATATGTAATATCACTGGCTGTCTGCAACTGTTCTGTGGGCAACAAGATGTGAATTTGGGGGTGGCGAGTGTCAATCTAGCATTGTTTTTTTTTTTTCTTGTATATAGGATCAGTCAAAAGGGATTTTAATTTTAAAACTACCTTAAATTTATTAGGAAGAAATTTGTTTCTCTGGTTTGCTTTTTGTCTAAATCCATGGTTTTTATAGCTTTCAGTTTGTAATACTTTGCCATCACTCTATATACACACCAGTGTTTGTTTAAAAACTGGAGAAATTAATTTTTTTCCCTGTGCTGCAGTGAAACAGAAAGTGGAGCAGAAACTGGAGCAGATGGGAAAAATGCAGGGAGTCTGCTTGCACACTGCTCATGTTTTGTGTATGGATGCAGTCCTTAATGTGGGTCTGGAGATGGGAAGCCACAATCAAGACTGTTGGCCTCATGTATTCAGGTACTTACCAGCTTTCACAAAATAACCAGAATTTATACTATGTTGCCTGAAAGTAACGGACTGAGAAAAAGGGCTTTACAGACTCTGTGGATGTTGTGTGTAAACGGTGTTTGAATTAACTGCCAGCACCTCTAAAAGATAAGACGGGGCAGTTTTCCACCGCTATTCAGAGACAAAAATCAATAGTTAGAAACTTCAAAACTATCAGAAAGCTGTACCAGACCCAGGAACCTAAATGGGCTTTTAAGGCACCTCCACCAAACTGTTTGCTATCTAGGCACATGGGAGGTCAAAGGATGTAAAAAGAAAGGTTATCTGTGTGTGGTCTGAGAGTTAGAGATTGTCTGTTTATGGTTTGAGGAAAATGTCCTGTGCATTGTATCTGATTCAAATGTAGAAATCAGTGCCTGTGAATTGGCAGCAGGTTTCCATGTCAGTTGGCTTCTTCCACTTATGAGGCTGTGTGGTAGCCAAGAGTACTCTGGAGTACAGACCCAAGTGTTTCTTCAGTGAGCCTGTGATTAGTGGGGGGAGGAGTTGGTGCTTTGGGGTGTTTATTCATCTTTTGCTTCTCCTGTTTGTTCTCAGGGTGTGCGAGTACATCAGCACTCTGGAGCACAGTCACTTCAGTGATGGTGCTTCCCAGCCCTCCCTTACCATCACCCAGTCACAGCAGGCACCTGGAGGGCTACACCCAGCCTCTGAGCCTGGTGACTCTCCTCAGGCACTCACCCCCGAGCAGGAGACCACCCTCAGCAGCCATCCTGTCATTCAGCCTGTTTCTATCCAGGATCTCATCAAGGACAACAGTAAGGGCAGAGCTTTCGAATTCCGTGGAGGCAGTCTGCTGTGTGGGACCAGTGCTGCCAAGGCTGTTCTCACACTCTCCACGCAAGCTGACAGGTAAAAGCAGTGCTGTCTGGAACCAGGATCCTTGTTCCCAAAACAGTACCAAAATGGCCCTTTTTGTGCTGCAGTGGGTCTAATCTTTGTTCATTGCAGCCACTTGCTTCAGTTGAATTTCTCAAAGGACTGCATGTTTGTCACAACCAGCAGTTTCTAAAAGACCTGTTTTTTTCATCTCTGTGGTACCTGCCCTGCAATTACTGAGCTGAGTATGTCTGTGCACAACAGTGAATATGCCACATAAATCAAATGCATCCTGAGAGCGATGGATTTATTTCTTGCATGTAAATTAATCTGTTGTATTCAGTAAAGCAAACAAAATAAGTGGGTGTCTTGTCCTGACAGGGAGGGACTGAGTGACAAGACTGTGTCAGAAAGCAACTGCTTCTGTCAGGACTGTTTGTCAGATGTCCCCAGTGTGTCCAGAGGAGGAAGGGCCGCCAAGTGGCTAGGTTAAGTGTCCCTTCATCATGGTCTACTGACTAATATGTGTCTCAGACTTTTACGTTATTTCTGCTATTTTTTAAGCAGCCCAGGCTAGAGTTGAAAATTTGCTGGGTTTGCAGGCTTGTAGTTATCTTTTTTCTTCAGCTGACATTTTACATCTTGATCTCTGCCCATAGAAAGCCATTATTTGTAAATTCAGAGCCAAAAGTAATGCGTAAACTGCTTGTAGAAGTTTGACCGTGGGCATAGAAAGTATCTTTTATTTAGGAAGTTCACAATACAACTTGGTTCTGAGGATTAGAGAATAGCAGTACTGTAATCTTAATGAAGCAGGTTTGATTTCCACACTTTTACTTCAGTGTGAACATTTATTAGGACTCAATCCCCAGTTTCCTGGGACTATAGAAAGTTTTTCATGAAAAGCAATGTCAGAAGATCATATTTTTGTCAATTTCTGGCTGCACCATGTGAAATTTCACTGTAGTCTCTGTGGAACCCACCTCCTGTGTAAACATGTTTACTCTTTAAGTGTACAGATTTTAACGGGTAAATCTTATGGGCTCACTGCAGCTGAAAATAAGGACTCTGGCTTATATTTGTTATAGTTTAATGAAAACATAGCCCCATACTAGGCATGGTGAGAAAATTAACTCTACCCCAGCCAAAACCAGCACAGTGTTCCAAAATAACCATTCAGGTACAGTAACTTTAGGTCTAAGACTTGAATTAGTTTTTCATGTAAGGCTCTGTGACTTCAGATGGAGCAAGCTGGTGTAACTCTAAAGTCAGTGAAGCTATGATGATCTATGTTGTGAGGACTGGGCATGTTTTAACTGTTTGGGCTTTTTATTAGTGGTTCATGAACTGCTTTGAAAAAGTGACTTTTTGTTGCAGTACCATAGTTGAATCTCAAAAGATTCTGGTTGGTCCCATAGCAACCCTCCAATTAATAAAGCTTCTGGATCAAAGTCTTTCTGTAGCACTGTATAAATGAAAAAGCCTCAATAACCCAATGTGTCACCAAAGGCAACACAGGCATAACAGATAAGAGTTTTCCTCTTACATACCCATTTAAGTCTGCATCTCATGAATTTTTCAGTTAGATTCTGTTCTTTACTTATAGGCTCTTTGAAGATGCTGCTGACAAGTTAAACTTGACGGCATTGGCAGGCTTCCTTTACCAGCTCAAGAAGGCTTCTCAGGCCCAGCTTTTCCATTCAGTCACAGATACAGTTGATTACTCACTAGCAATGCCAGGTAAGTGACCTGAAGATCCCTTACAAACTGTTTCATATACAACTGTACTGCTTACAGGACTACTTTGTATTCTTACAGTTCTGATTATTCCATTTGAAATTTCAAGATATAAATAAAACACAGAATTTAGTCTAATAAGATCTTTCTGTAGGAACAATTCGAAGTCTTTAGAAAAGGCTGAGCACTTTTTTGGGGCAGGGATCACATCCACACCTGCTTTGAAACACTTCAGAGGACATTAATTTCATTCTTGGGGGTGTTAATTATCTGCAGATACTTAATCACAACTCCACTTTGGAGCCTAGTCCAGTATAAAACTTGGGTGAATGCGGACCTAAGAGAGTGGATTTAGGTTAGACCTTTGACAGTGGGGTAACTTCAGAAGTGTTCAGAAAATGGGTAATAGCAAACAAAGCACATAAATGAAGAATGTTAAATAAAGCAGTGGGATTTGCCCTGCTTGCTCTTCCCCAACAGAGTGGATGGGGCATGTATCTTACAGTATAAAACCTGTAAATGTTTGTTTCCATCACTGTCTCAAATAGATCAGAAGGACTGAGCACAAAGGAAGATCTTTCACTAAAATTTATACTGTGCCTGTAGAAGCTACATTAGTCATACAGGTTTTGTTCTGTCCTGTAGCAAACATGGATTTTATCTGATATATGTCTCCAGTTTAATCGGTTTCCCCTTTCCCTGAAGTGCTATTTGTCATTTGCCAATATGACACTTCAAGTTGATTGGTTTTTTGCTCTTGCTTTGTCTTCAGACCTCAACATTCATAACTAGTTTTAATAAATAGCTATCCTCTTGTCATGTATGTAGTAGTCAATCCACAGTAGTTAGTAATAATAAAATTGAAATTAGGATAGAGCAATTAAGTGCTATATTTTATGTTAAAAATTTTTTTTTGTTTTAAGGTATGCCCCCTGATTATATCTTTCATTAGAGATAAAAGCACCAGTATATTTTTAATGAGGGGATGAAATATCTCTCCAAATGTTGTAAGAGCAATGGAAGATGAATCCCTTTCAACAGCAAATAACAAATATTAGTGACTGGGGAACAAAAAAGCTTTTTCTCACATTCTGTTCTTTGTATCCTTTGCTTGATAAGAAATACAAAATTAAATACTCAAACTAAATAATTTGCAGTTTATATTCTTTCCTGTAGATGTCACCAAAGGCTTTTTTAACTACCATTTTGGGTCTTATTATCAATTATTTAACTACTTGCTTGACTTTCCTGCAGTATTTCTCCAAGACTTTGTCTTTTGCAAAAAAAAAGGGAGTGATCACTTAAGTCCAAATAAAGTATGTTTAATACTTTAAGTTGTTCTTAAAACTTGGATCCATCTCATGTTCTTTTACTTACACAGGTATAGGCTGTGTTTTACATTGGAGGGTTTTTTTGTTTTTTTTCTTTTTCTCATCCCCCCTTAAACCTCCCCCTGACTTAATAAATAATTTTCAACCTGATTTCAATTCCAATTTAGATGTTTAGAGATGGAGAAGTAGCTGATGCTTAGCTTCCATTTATTTTCTTATACTTTCTTGTAGGTGAAGTAAAATCTACCCAGGACAGGAGGAGTGCACTTCACTTGTTCCGACTTGGTGATGCCATGCTCAGAATTGTAAGGAGTAAATCTCGCCCATTGCTCCACCTCATGCGCTGCTGGAGCCTGGTGGCACCTCACCTTGTAGAGGTAGGAATGGGGGACAAAAATGTGCATGTGTTCAAGAGATGGCAAAGCTGAAAAACATGCAGAAGTCTTGATAGCTCTTAAAATGTATAACAACTCTCAACATTGTGAAATCTGCTAGGTATTGTATAAACTGTGTCATATACTGCGATACTGCCACAAAGGAATGTGCTTTTAAGTAACTGAAATGGGCAGGACCAGGGACAGGGTGTTGGATTTTTGCAATATGATGCAAAATGCGTCTGGTGAAAAACTGAAACCACACCAAGAGGCTATAAGTAACTCCTCCATCTACCTGTTTTCCCAGTCAAGATCTGCAGCCTTGCAAGTCTTCCCATAAAAGGATGCAGGTTTCTTTTCCTACATAAAGCCAGCTGGAAGGATTATAACATTTTCCCCTTTCCTTCTGCTTCCTTGTGAACACTGCTCAGTGGCATGCCAGCAGCAGCCACAAAATGGATTTCAGTCATAACAAATGACATTTCCTCAGTCAAATTTTCAGTCCTTTCTGATGAAATCCTGGTGTCTTGACTTCTCAGAGCTTTTTGATTTGTATCATTGGTATGAATAAATGTGCTGTACTTCCTTTCTTTCTGTTGGTGAGGTATGTGGTGTCATTTGCCCAGGTCTGTTGGGAGCATGCTTATCTGAAGTCTTAAGATGAGTTGTTCAGTAAATTGCCATAGCACTTTCTTTCATTGACTTGAGAAAATATGTGGACCATCTTACAGTAGAGATCAGACATCAGGAAGTCTCAATGGAATCCCTCTAAGTGAAGTAGAAATAACAAAGAATGCTTTTGTTGTGTGCTTTACAGCCCTTTATCTTGAAAACCAGTGTCCTACTTGCCTTTGTATAACAGCCTGAGATCTCTTTAAATACTTTGCATGTTTTGAACACTTTAAGGTCTTTTAAGATCCCACACCACTTTAAATTCAAGTGCCACCCATGTTTTTAGATGCAGGAGTGGTCAGACTTTTGGGTTGACTGCAGCGAAGATGAGGACATTATCAGTAAAAAGTAACATCACAGAAAGGATAACCTGCATAGTTGCTCAAAATGGTAACTTTATATTCAGATTCACTGCTCTTTAATTTTTCAACAGTTCTTCCAAAAGTGTCAAGAAACTCTAAGTTCCATAAATAGCCAAATAAGTGGCACTTTTTCATGCCTAAATAGGTATGGTGAATATTTGCAGAAACTAACTTTTTGAAGGGAAAAATGGTCACACAGTAGAAACAAAGGACAATGTTTCACATGAGCTTTGTTCTGTGGGTTTTAGTATTTAATTTATTTATTTTTAACTCTGTAATTTTTGAATTGTTAATAAACCTTTATGCATCTGTGGAACTCCCAGCAGCTCAGAGTCTCAGTGATCTGTTTCCATGGCAGTACTCTCTCATTTTCATTGTAGTGGGGTCCCTAGTAACATCAGTGGTGAAGCCACTTTTAGGGTTCAGCAACATGAAGTGCTTACCACCCTTAAAAATGTCTCACTAAAACCAAATGTTTTCTCTTGCACATACTCTAATTCTTCTCCTTTCCCTGCAGGCTGCCTGTCATAAGGAGAGGCATGTGTCTCGAAAGGCTGTCTCCTTCATCCACGACATCCTCACTGAAGTGCTGATGGACTGGAATGAGCCTTCTCACTTCCACTTTAATGAGGCACTTTTCCGCCCCTTTGAGCGCATCATGCAGCTAGAGCTGTGTGATGAGGATGTTCAGGACCAGGCAAGTCAGTTCTGATTGGGGTATCTGTATGTGGCCTACCATGCCTGTAAGAAGAATGGTTTCCAGAGTGCACTTGGTCCACCTGAGTGTTTCCCAAATTCCCTTCAAATGCTGTCCCTTAATCATCTTCAAGGAATTAAGAGTGCTCTGCCTACCTAAGCCAGCATTGTGGTAGAGCACAGAGACAGTACACCTGGCTTTAAAGCAATTAAATAAAGCTTTTCTATTATCTAAAGAAATTTAAATAATAAGTTAATCTAGACTGCCATAGTAAAATCTAGGAATCTGTTTGAAGGCATTGGCATTCCTTCTGAAGATTCATCTATATATCAGTTCTATTTTTTGGTTTTGTTCTTTTAACCCCTCCTACACTGTCTACAGGTGGTCACCTCTATAGGAGAGTTGGTGGAAATGTGTTCTACCCAGATCCAGTCGGGATGGAGACCCCTGTTCAGTGCCCTGGAAACAGTGCACAGCAGCAACAAGTCAGAGGTTAAAGAGTACCTTGTAGGAGAATACTCTATGGGTAAGGACTTACTGCACTGACTGCTCCATAAGTGTTTTAGATTCCCTGGGGGACACAGTAACTAACTCAATATATTTCAATGCTCTAACTGAACAGTGGGCACTGCAATACTCCAGAACTGTACTCAAGTATCTGAATTATTAGTTGGAGTGGGAGGGGAAAGCAGAGATATTGTTCTGACTTTTTGTCCTCTAGATTCTGACAGATGAGTAGAATGAGAAAGAAATGCTTCATAGAATCATAGAATCAGTTGGGTTGAAAGGGACCTCCTAGATCATCAAGTCCAAACCTTGATCCACTACCACTGTAGTTGCTAGACCATGGCACTAAGTGCCACATCCAGTCTTGTCTTAAAAACCTCCAGGGACAGAGAATCCACCACTTCCCTGGGCAGCCCATTCCAATGCCTGATTACCCTCTCTGTAAAGAATTTCTTCCTAATATCCAACCTAAACCTCCCCTGGCACACCTTAAGACCATGCCCTCTTGTCTTACTGATAGTTGCCAGGGAGAAGAGACCAACCCTCCCCTGGCTACAACCTCCTTTCAGGTAGTTGTAGAGAGTGATGAGGTCTCCCCTGAGCCTCCTCTTCTCCAGGCTGAACAACCCCAGCTCCCTCAGCCTCTCCTCATAGGACTTGTGCTCAAGTCCCTTCACCAGCCCTGTTGCTCTTCTCTGGACCTGCTCCAGCACCTCAATATCCTTCCTGAACTGAGGGGCCCAGAACTGGACACAGTACTCCAGGTGTGGCCTCACCAGCGCTGAGTACAGGGGAAGAATCACTTCCCTGGACCTGTTGGCCACACTGTTCCTGATGCAGGCCAGGATGCCATTGGCCTTCTTGGCCACCTGGGCACACTGCTGGCTCATGTTCAGCTTCCTGTCAATCCAAACTCCCAGGTCTCTTTCTGCCTGGCTGCTCCCGGCACTTGGCCTTGTTGAACCTCATCAAACCTACGTGAATAATTTTGAGCAGTCGTGCAGGCATACTGAGCTTGGCTGAGCCCTGGTCACTGTCCTACTAGAGAAAGGAAAGCGGACTCTATACAACTGGCATGTCTCATGTGGACTGTCTTCCTTATTGTGTGAACTCTAGTGCTCTCAAACATTAGGGAGGGTAACTTAGTGTGATAATCTAGGCAAGTGCTTGTCCAGGCAGTTAATCACAAGGTTTTCAGATTGCTAGTGCTGCAAGAATGTGCACCCTTCTCAGAGATGTTCGCTTGTATAGAAACAGAGTAATATGGGAAAATAATTTCATTCTGTTCTTTTGCCCCATTCAAATGCATTTTAAATGTTACAAGTCATGTGTAAGGGACGTGAGTTTCTTCCTAAACTTTGTCTTTGAGATCTATTATAATTGATGGCTGAATGCAGGTGTACACAGCTTTTGAAGACTGATCATCTACTTGGGAAAAACAAGGCTATTTTGTTACTGTATAGCCTGAATAGTTTTCTGCGTGATTGATGTCACCTTGGCAGTTATCAAAAACTAAACTAGAAACTAAACATAAACCTCCACCAAACAGAAGTATTAGCTACTGAGCTGAGTTCAAGAGCTCAGACCTGCTCTTACCGTTTGGACAGGCATATGCTAGTATTTGTCATAGACTAGGCGAAGGAGGGAATCTGTATCACTTCCTATGAAAGGCTACATGAGTTGCCTCAGGAGCAACAGAAGGTTTTACTTTTAAGATCATTTCTGTCTCTGCTCAGAATAGAAAAGATTCTACAGATTCAATTTATTTGTTGAAAAATGGTTGGAAAATCATTTTTATGGGGATTGGGGAAGAGTTTTCATCTTGTTATTTCCACAGGAAAACGCCAGGCTCCAGTGTTTGATGTCTTCGAAGCATTTCTAAACACAGACAGCATCCAGGTCTTTGCCAATGCTGCCACCAGTTATATTATGTGCCTTATGAAGTTTGTCAAAGGACTGGGTAAATATTTTCCTTTCCTATTAAGTCATGATATGTCAAATTTGATCCTGCAGAAGAGGATAATTCAGTTGTATAATACATAGTATGGTAGAAAAGAGAGAGACAATGAAGAATGTGAGTCCACAATGCTTAAAAAAAAAAGAATCAAAACCAAGGGATTATTTGGTAAACATTTTTAATACTCTCAGTTCTTCAAGTTTTTATAGCAGCAAAGATGCATCTCACAATTAAGTGTCTGCTTTGTCTGATCTTAATTTGCAGCAGAACTTGCTTACATTCATTTAAATAATAAAATAACAACTAAACTCAAAACCTAGAATATTGCAGAAATGGCCTGGCATTGTGAAGAGACACCAGGGAGTGTCTGCAACAGAATAGAGTATGTTTTACGGAATAGGGTATGTTCGGAGGTGAAAGGCACGTCTCCTTTCTACCCTTGCCCACCTCAGCAGCAGTAGTTTGGTATATGCACTGCTGAAAACCTGCCAAACCTTCTGTGAGGTCCCGAGCACTGCAACTAACTCCACTGTCCCTGTGTTTTGTATTGTGTTACTGAGGGCAGCAGAGACCAGAACATCGTGTCAAGGTGACCCTACAGAGTAATTGTGGTGCTTTGCCAAAATTCAGAACAAAGGGAAATGCTGGGTGGTTCTGCCCCCACACTCACCCTGATCATTAGAATTTGACACTATTCATTGAACTGTGACAATGATGGGGTATTTTGGTTATTTAAATTACAGAACTTTTGATGAGTGGTAAAATGGGGCTTTTGGTTTCTATATGTATATTGATTCACAGAGGGTTTTATGTCTGTAAATAACTCCTTTTGATTTAAATGAAGCACCTAACTGCAGCAAATCTAGTCTTTAATGTTACTCTTGTCTTATTAAGCTATTTCACCATCGATTTCGATGGGGGCAGAATTCAGCTTGTGATGACAAACCATAATTACTACAAAAGAGAAATAAACTTGCATGTTCAATACCAATAGAGGGAACTCATGTGACTTCTGGAGAGTTCAAAATCCTGTCTTATATTTCTTTAGGTTTCTTAGTTACATGAGATAATTTTGACCCTGAAACAGGAGGCCAGGCCCAAAAGAGTTAACTAAGAAATTTGCGCCTGCTAACAAGTTACTAACATCCAAAATGATCTGTGCTTGTTCTGTTCTACTTACTGGACCAAAATTTAAGAGAATGGTAAAAGAACATGTAATAGGCCTAGAGGTAATAAATTAAGATGCAGTAGGATAAGGTAGACATTTGAATAGAAGAAACAGGCTGGGAGCCAAAGCTTTTTCCAAGCTTCAGTGAGTGGGTTGAGAACAATGGAAAAGAAGAGAGGTCAGGCTGAGGAAGATGAGTTTAAGCCCCCAGACCCATGGGAGGAAGGACAGAACTACCCCCAAGGTTGAAGGCCAAGAGAAGCACCGCCTCAAGCCCCGCCTGAGCTCCACCTATACTCCACCTGTTATTAATATGCATAGATAGATGTTGTAATTACTTGAATATGCATTTAATCATGTACGAAAATTGTATAAAAACTGCTGATTTTGTGTGAAGCGGTTGAGCAAGTTTTTCCAGCAATAGTTGGCTTGCTCCCAGCGCTGCTAATAAATACCTTTGCTGCTCAAAAGATCAAAGTCTCTGGGCAGTTCATGATACCGGATATTTCGGATTCATTCCCTTTGTGGTCACATGTCAAAAGCAGGAATTTTATTTTTTTTTGTATTAAAGGTAGTAGGACTATGGGATACTTCAGCAAGGAAAATACTGTACTATGTGCATTTTAATGTAAAAGTAAAGGATTCAAACTTCACTGGCTGACTTGGCTGATCTCAATAGTGGACAAAACTTTAAAATATGTTATGGAGGGATTGTTAAGGGCATAGAAAAAGCAAATAAATATAGTGAAAGGAGAATAAAGTAGGACTTAATAAAAGCATTTCATATTTATCTTGTGGTTTTTCTGAGAGGAATACCTCAAGACAACAGAATGTTTACATGTATAGGCATTTAGTAAAGTTTCAAATTTGGCACTGAATTGAAAGTATTTGGCTAAAACATAAAAATAGTTATAAGCCAAGTATTCTAAGGTGGGCAGAACACTGACTGACAGGGGAGGAAAACAGACTGTGCAGACAGGAAAAATGGCAAAATGAATGGAGTTGTCCAGAGAGGAGCTCTGCAGCAGGATGCCTTGGAACTGCTCTGCTTATGGAATTCACTTAATGAAGCTGACCTGAAAGAAAGAGTCTGATGATGTCATAGAGTTGGTAATACTAGCAATATTGAGGCACTACAGTCTGAGGATATATATCATACAGTTGAAACTGTGAGACTTTGACGCCTGACTTAGATAGCAGAAGGAAATATAGTAGCACAAAATATAAAATGGTGTATTTAAGCAGTAAATAAACTAAAAGGAAGAACTTGTGGTATAAAAGTTTTCCTGGGCACTGGGATGCAAATGAATAGAAAAAAATGAGTATAGTAATTGAGCAAATTATAAGAATATAATATGAGCAAGTAATTACAACACTCATGGAAGAAAGTGGAGTCAATATAGCAGATAATATAATGTATGAAGCCCAAGGGCTTCACTAAAGAGTTATTAAATACGCATATGGTTATTAAAACATTTATTCATATACAAGTTTGTGGACAAACTGTGACCAGTATTACTGTATTGTTTGTGTGGGGATCACATGCTTGTTATCTAAGATGATCAAACAAAGGATGTTTTCTGGCTTCTATTCAGACATTAAGGCATAACTAATGAAAAAGAAAAAAGAATTCTATGTTTATTTATATTCTTCTGTCCTTCCCAATGCTGCCTTTCCTGTCCCCAGGGGAAGTAGATTGTAAGGAGGTGGGTGACTGTATGCCAGGATCAGGATCTGCATCTACAGACTTGTGCCTTCCTGCGCTTGATTACCTCAGGAGATGTTCTCAGGTATGACGAACAATCTTAAATAGGCATTAACCTCGCCTAGGAAACAGTTCTAACCTGCAGGCTTTGCATCAGTCATGAGATGGTTTGCATGAACCCAAAAAAGTCTGTGATGACTCTGATGGTAATATCCTGCACTGCCAAATGGAGAGTGGCTATATCTGAAGGAATATTATACCTTGTAGGCCAATTAGTGGTGAGAAAACTGATGATATAAAAACACACCCAGGAAGCATGTGGGAAAATGTGAACAATCAAAACCTAATAGTGACATATTTAAAGCTAAATTCATTCTTACTTAAACAGTAACAGTATTGGGAATGAAAGACCAAAAACAAAACAAAAAAAACCACAAACAAAAAAACCCAAACTAAACAAAACCAAAATCCCCCCAAAAACCCAAACAACAACTTGAGAATTCTCAGATCTTAAGAGCAACAGGTTACACCCTCTGAAACACAGAAGCATTTTATCTGTACCATCAAAACTTATCTGAAGCTTGGGGCAAATCTGTAACAACTGGAATGCTAGGGTGTTTCCTCTAATCTCCTTGCACACAGCAATATTATTATCCTGGGTTACCTGGACAATTTTTATCTGACTTTATAAAGTTGTTTGTATTTCTGTAGTACCTGCAGGTCTTTTTGTTGGACCCCAGACATTTTTCTGGGTACAATACAAAGGCACAAAAATGGATATTACCATTGCTAAAAGGACTTATATCTAAATTGAGATATAATGGGTGGGTTCACTACACAGACTGAGAAGGGAAGAATAAGGCACTTCAGGATAATAAACAGCAGACATCAAATTCTATTTGCTATCTTGTTCACTGAAAAATTAGTGAATATCTATGCGTATGTCTAATATATGTTCTGTCTATACACTGTTTGCACCACATCACTATTCCTCATCCTTACAAACCTCAGCCTACAGTGAGAAGAAAATATTTTCTCCTCTTCGAAAGAAGCAGCCATTTATATCTTTTAACTTGCCAGTAGAAGAAGAACAGGAATGACTGAAAAAAAATCTTGTTTATATATTGCAAATACATTATTTACTTTAGAAAGACCTGATAAAATGCTGGTAGAGTCCCAGCAAAATTCAGCAGTTTGTATTTGTTTTGTGATGGACAACCCAGGCAATGAAGCTCTGAAGTAAACCTGTACAGGTCCTTTTATCAGTATTTACTTAGTCCTTCAGAGCTTAAACATATTTTGTGTACAGCTAATGGAGCTTCATAGGTCATAGGTGCAATCAGTGAGTCGTAACATTTGCCCTTTACAAGTGAGAAGAGAGCACACTTCCTTCTCAGAAATGTGTTATTTAAATTGCTGCTTTCCCTCTCTTTCACCCTCAACCCTTTACTTGTCAATGAACAGAAGACTTCTGGACTCTAATTGTGCTTTCGTAGCTTTTATTTTATTTTACATACTTGTGTTGTATGTGATAGCTTTTACAAACTTTCCTATATATACTTACCTTCTCTTTTTTTCGCTGTCTCCTCTCCACTACCCTCCCCAAGTTGTTAGCCAAAATCTATAAAATGCCCTTGAAACCCATCTTCCTCAGTGGTCGGCTGGTTAACTTGCCCCGAAGAGCGCAGGAACAGTCAGCCAGCAGTGAGGATGGTATTGAATGCATCCTTTCTGACTTTGATGACGATACTGGTAAGTGTATTGAAAGCAGTAAGTGCAGAATTAATCAATTACTTCTTCCACATGTTGCTGTAAATTTTGCCAACTGCTGAAAGCAAAAACTTCAATCCTTTGTCTCCCTGTTGTCTACACATACACGTGTGCACACGCAGAGCTTGGAAGTTCAGATCACATCACCTTCTTTATGTAAAGATATAGTTTGTATATAAGAAAAATACAACCCGTCTGCTAGGGCAAGACAACAATATTTTAACAAATAATTATTTTTATTATCCTGATATTCATAATATAACCAGTGTATATTTCTGAGACCTAACACAAAAAGAACTTTCTAGATCACAGCTGAAGTAAAGGAGTGAAAACCTTTTAAGGTTGGTATTGGCAGGCCTGCCTTAACAGAAAAAAAATATCAGTATTTAGTTACAGTCTAGAAATATAAGGAATAATGGTTTAAATGTTTTCAAACTTATATCCTGTGGTCTGTTGAAATAAACAGTGAATTTCTGAAGTCCATATAAAGCTCCATGACCTCCAGAAAAAACAAGCAACGTTTGTCTCCTGATTATTTTTGTGGTTTATATAGGTTGTGGATTAATCAGGTGTTTGATGAAATAGATCTGTGCAGAGCCAAGTGGTAGAGGAATGCAACCTCACGACTTCTGAACTCAGGAGGCTTTCACAGCAATACAGTCACTTTTGAATATCTGAACTACTGAGCTGTTCCAAAGAGACTGTTTCTGTGAAGAATCAACTCCAACCTGTCAGAAAGCAGGCTAACTCCAATGCATGTCATTCATGTGCCTCACCAGACTGGCCCTTGGTACCTACTTTTATCTAGACTCTTCCATCACATGGATTGTCCTGTTCCACTGCTACCCTCAATAAAGGAGAGAAAAGGTGCTCTCTGAAAACAGAAAATCACAAGTCCTATTTTTTCACAAAACAACCTTTTACTTTCTTCTTTCTCTGTTTGGGTTTGGCTTTGGTTTGCTTTTTTCCACTCTAGGAATTTCAGAATATTTAACTGGGATGTGGGAGACCCAAGTCATTGAAGCCTCTACTTTGAGTCAGATTTGGGACTCGGCCTAGGGTCTCCCCACCTCAGGTGAACACGCTTTGCCTACTGTTCTGGAGTGGTTCTGTCTGTCAGTGTCTTCCTGTGAATAGAAAGGCCATCCCACAGCAAAGAAACCTTCTGATTTGATTTTTGTCACAGTTAAGCACTAAACCTGTCACCCAATTTGTTATTTAGATGGTAATGGTGTTAGAACATTGCTAGGCAAACTGACTTTACAAAGACAGGAGGCAGTGCTTCATCTGGCGCTCTAGTGTTCAAAGTCACTACCAGGATGGGGCAAAATGTCTTAGCCTACTTTGCCATATTTGCAGTGTATTTTCATAGTGTATTTGATACCAGCAAGTGTCATGCAGACACAGACTACATCAGCATAGCTACCGGTGGCAGACAATGTGGGCTTATTAGTGAACCAAGGTAAAATCCCTTTTAACCTAATAAACTCATAGCCTTCTTGACTTAAGAATAACAGCATACATTAGCAGGAGTGTAATATGCAAGATCCTTCTAGTCATTCGTGATATGACGGGGAACTAGCAAGTACTTAAGTGGTCTGTGAAAAATTAAAGGGCAGCAGTTCCTAGCCATCTTCAAAATTGTATTGAAAATTAGTTGTATCCCATAATCTTTTAGGGAATACGTTTGCCAACTCACCTGTATCCTAATTACTGTTCTGGCAATTGTCCAGCTCTGTGATCTCTTAAGATCTAAAGATAATGTGAGGCAGCCTGATGATACCTTATGAGACATTTTACTGTTCAATTTTGGGTACCAAATAGAGACAGTTAAATTATGGCTAGTCACCTCAGGAGCCTTACTTAAAAGCATAACCTAAATGAGTACAATCTCCTCTGGGCAGCATTTGCAATGATAATGAGATATGGTTTTACTTACATACTTTTTATGAGACATTTTACACAAGGTTAAAGAGGCTGGAGTATAGGGAGAAGTAAACTAAGACCAGAATAAGGTGTATGTGGAGGAGGAAGGATGGCACAAAACACAAACTTAAAAAAAGAGTGGGAAAAGGAGACTATAATTTCAAAAATGGCTATTACCTACAGCCATTACACAGGAACAATGAACACGCAAGAACCCACAATCTTTAAGTTAATTAATTTGTTTCCATCACTTTGAGGGCAAGTTTCACCTGTAGTCAATGCAGTATCTCACTCATGGTTTTTAATCTTCCTTTCTTTACTTGTAGGCCTTATCAATGTCTGGATTATTCTGCTGGAAGAATTAACAACTGCCATATCCAACTGTCCCCGTCAACACCAGCCTCCTACTTTGGATCTGCTCTTTGAACTGCTGAGGGACATTGCCAAGACACCTGGTAATGAAAGGGCTTGACAAAACGTGAGCTAGTGGAGTCCTGACACAAACCTTTTAGAATCCTAAACCTCTTCTGTAAAGTGTGCTACTCATGCTAAAGCTACATAGAGACATTCTCTCATAGAAAGGGATTTTTTTAGAGTGGATTTGTTGTTCCAGTTACTGCATTGTTTTGTTGACAAAAGTCGTCTTGTAAGAATATATTGAGCATATTCTTAAATTCATTGCACAAATAGAGAGGTGCGGTACTCTACTGATGTCCTAGCTACAGAAAGTGTTTGCTTGGTGTCTAGGAAATGGAAAGAGAAAATTACATAATCCTGCAGACCTTCTGGGAGAGACTGTTGGCTAAATGTTCATGTAGTACCTCTCAACTAGATCCAAAACTCTTACCACTCTCATTCCACAAAAAAGTTTCAGAACTTCCTTTCTTTAGCATTACCTCAGGTCTCAGCTTGGAACAACTTAGCAAATTTACTGAGCATGGAGGCTTTGTAAGCAAAAATATACAACCATCATTATGTTTATTTTAAGGACCAGGATTTGGCATTTACGCGGTTGTACATCTTCTTCTTCCTACGATGTCTCTTTGGCTCCATCGCAGTCATGGTGATCATTCTTACTGGGATGTAGCATCTGCTAATTTCAAGCATGCCATTGGCCTTTCCTGTGAACTTGTAGTGGAGCACATTCAAAATTTCATACATTCAGGTATGTCATTGTACTGTCACATCTGTCATCAGTGACATGTTACTGATAGCTACTTGTGGAGATGGTTTCTTTGCTTTTTTGGTTGCTCAAGCATAAAATAAGAGAAGGAGGAGGGTTAAAATTTTCTGTTTAGGATTTTTTATTTTTCATTCTTTATAGGATTATGGGAAATTACAGGGGAAAAAATTGTAAGGGACTTATGGAAGTTTATGGAAGCTTCCTGCTCAGAGCAGGGCTATCTTCAAAATTAAATCATTATAGTCTTTAGTATACTTTCCAAAAGAAGATATAAATACTTTGATCATGAAGAACTAGAACATCAGAAACAGGATCTAAGAGAATTTCTCCTGTACCACATAAGTCCAGATATTTTATATTGTTAACATCAAAAGGAATTGTCTTATGTCAACTTGATGCAATGCATGTTTCAAGAGCTGCATAAAAAGAATTTGTTTTTGCAAATTCTCTGAATAGCATTTAAGTGTAGCAAGACTGTGTATCTCTAATTATAATGAAAAGGCAATGATGTTAAAAACAGCCTGTGTCTTTTCCTTATAGATATTGGTTATGAAAATATGATCAATACTATGCTGAAAGATCTTTTCAAGTTGCTGGTAGCCTGTGTAGCAGAACCAACAGAAATTATTTCCAGAGTTGGCTGCTCTTGTATCAGGTAACCCCATCTGTTCACTCTTAGCATATTCAAAAAAAGATGTCTATGTCTTTGAAGGACTTGTGGACTGATTAAGTTGGTCAGCATCTCAAAAGATGTCCACAATATATCTAACTTCTTGTTATTTGAATAATGAATTTTAGACTTACTAGCCTGTTCTTGCTGTTTTCAGTGTGCTTCAGAACCTGTGATTTTAGGCATTACTGTATGTATGATTCCCATAAAATACTCTTGGACATTATATCTAGTTAGTCAATAATTGATCCTTAACAAAAATACTCAAGGGTTTTTCCATTGGAATTCACACATCTTTAGAGGTAATTAATATCTTTCACAATCTTCAGGTTATTACAGTCATAATCAAAATAAGCACTGCATTTATGTACTTACACAATGTGTGGTTCTTGTGGCAAGATGAATACTTAAAGACAAAAAACAAAGGAGAAAAAAAGTCAAAACTACAGTGTAATTACAAAAATAGGTCAGGGTAACAACTGAGGAGATTGGATTACTAAATGAGCATGTTGTTCTGTTTTCATAGAATCGTAGAATGGTCTGGGTTGGAAGGGACCTTAAAGATCATTTAGTTTCAAGACCCTTGCCATTGGCAGGGACACCTTCCACTAGACCAGGTTGCTCAAAACCCCATCCAACCTGCCTTGAACTCTTCCAGAGATGGGGATTTTCAACCTTCTCCCTTTACAAGTAAGAATTGTCTAGTTCCTTCTTGAACATGGTAACATTTTTCTGTGTTCTTGCAGGTATGTGTTAGTGACAGCAGGGCCTGTTTTTACGGAAGAGATGTGGAGGCTTGCCTGTTGTGCCTTGCAGGATGCCTTCTCTGCCACTCTGGAGCCAGTAAAGGTAAAACTGCCTTTTTGCCAACAGTCAAAATGTAATCACACTATAGACTCACTAATTTTTGACAAGTATTTTTTAATTCTCCAGGCAAGTTTTTGTGTATAGAGCCAGGAAAAGAAGCTTAAAGATTGTGTCATAGCTTTTTTTTAATTTGTCAATTCACAATGAGGCATGTTGCACCAACAATGGAGATTGAAACCAGTTTTTCTAAACACAGAACAGACAACACTAGTAGCTAACAGACTTATTTTAAATTGCCTTGCCAACATGAAATCAGAAGAGTTCAGTAGGTGAAAACTTCCCTTTTGATCCATTTCTTCCTCTGGATTGACTAAAACTAGAGAGAAGACAATGTTGCTTACTTAACCCTGCAGCTGCATGCTTCATATAGATTAGTTTTCGGCTCACTGGCTGTCTTGTAAACAAAACATCCTGTTAAGTCATCGCAGGCCAGAGTACATAAGAAGCTGTAGTGCCTTTACATTGGATGTATTAAATTGCTAAATAGCAGGTGACCAGTTGATGGTAATGGGACAGGTCACTCTGAATCTTGTATTTCACACAAACAGGCTGGACATCGCTACAGCCACTGATTTCTTTAACGCACAGTGAAAGTCTGATGTTGTGTCTCTCTATAGAACCTGTTGGGCTATTTCCACAGTGGTTCTGAAAGCTTTAGTGGAGATGCCTGTGAAGTGAAGGTGGCAGCCCCCTCCCTCTCGCCAAGTGCTGAAGCGGAATACTGGAGAATCAGAGCCATGGCACAACAGGTACTGATGGATGTTTCAGGGCAAGTCAGAGAACCTTTTAAAGTTGGAGGTTTACTTTATGAAAGTAAATTTTTGCCACCACCTTCCTCACAAACCCTACAGGCAAAGACTTCCTCATCACCAGACTAACATTTATTTATTTAACAGCAGTATTCAGAAAAAATAATAAAAACCAGGAAAATAAAACTTAAAAACTGTCCCCCTGTAAATAGGGATTAGGAATGCCTAGAGTGGGGAAAGATGCATGAATACCTGAGGAAAACTGATGATGAGATTATTGTGTAATTAGCAGCATTAGGGTACATCAGTGGAAACCTTTCTGATAGAGGAACAGAACGTTACCGTGAATCCCCATCTAGAATGTCAATTCATTTCTGTTTACTCTGTTAAAGAACGATAAAGTCAAAGGACAAAAAATGTGCTAAAACAGAGATGGGGATATGAAACTAGGAAAACAAGATTTGTTTAACCTATCAAAGCAGAGTTTATAGAGAAATGCAGATTTTTTTTCTCTATAAATATCTAGATATAGGTTGCAGAGAAGAAAAAGAGTTGCTGGGAATTAGAGGATAATGGTGATATTTAAAAATTATTTAAAACTCACAACTAACTCCTCATTAGCAAAGCAGACTTTGAGACAACTTTCTTAGGGTCCTTTTGACTACAGTGGAGGTTATTCATTTTATGAAAGTAGTTATATGAAACAAGTTCTTTGAAATACAGAAGACTGAACTTAATGACCTGTGGGGAACCATAAAACTGTAAATACTGTATGACAACTTCAGCATGGGAAAGCACCTTGATTAAAACAGCTAACAGATGTTTGGTATCAATTTCTGACTTAAAAAATCATACCCTGATGCTGCTTGAAAATCTGAAACACACAGACCAGGATTGGTGATCACAAATAATGTGGCAGTGGCAGACATTTTTCGAATAGAAAAAAATGTTTTAAATTAAGTTTTAAAGATGCAGAACTTAAGAAAGCAGGGAATGTGACATTTATACTTTTCTTGTAGACACTATCAGTGGCACTCCCCAAGTCCTTCTCAGAGGGAATTTACTGCAACTATGAAGCTACAAAACAAAGCTACAGCAACTGAGAGTTGTCTCCCCATTTCCCACTGTCCTGGTGTTGGCTGGGATGGAGTTAATTTTCTTCCTAGTAGCTGGTAGAGTGCTGTGGTTTGAATTTAGTGTGAGAATAATGTTGATAACACACTGATGTTTTACTTGTTGCTAAGCAGTGGTTAAGTCAAGGACTCTTCAGATTCCCATGCTCTGCCAATGAGGAGATGCACAAGAAGCTCAGGGGGACAGCTGATGGAAACCAACCTAAGGGATATTCCATACCATAGATTGTCATGCTTAGCATGTAAATGGGGGGAGTTGGCAGGAAGGGGCTGATCACTGCTCAGGAACAGACTGAGCTTTGGTCAGTGGGTGATGAGCAACTGTACTATGCAAGTTCATTTCTCTCTCTTTTTTTTTTGTTGCCTCTCTTTTTGTGGTGGTGGTGGTTGTTGTTATTACTATATTTTATTTAAATTATTAAACCGTTTTTATTTCAACCTGTGGGTTTTACCTTTTCTTTTCCCTGATTCTCCTCCCCATCCTTGAGAGGGATAGGTGTGGGGTGTGGTAAGGAGTGGCTGTGTGTCAGTTGCTGACTATGGTTAAACCACGACACACCCCCACAGAATTGCATATTAGATTTCTGTATCTTAATGGCTGAAAATAATCCTTCTGACAACCAGCCTTTCTAGGTGCAACAGGGCTAACTATGCAAACAGGTCCTTGTCTCCACTATACTTGATATTTTCTATAGTAGTGTACAGGCAGCAGAAAGCTTGTTTTGGCTTTTGGTACTATGCCTTATACAAGTTCAAAGGAAAATATGTCTGTCCTTTGCCCTGTGCTCTATGGATTTCTGGAGGTAGCCCATTGCTCTTAGGCTGTTTTACCAAACCAGCACGCTCCAGGGAAGGAAGGTCTGCCTTGGGGGATACCTTGCATTCTCTCTATCACTATAAAATAATTCAGTATGACAGATTTTTGCAATGAAGGGAATCCTATTTTCGAGTGCCCCCAAGGACCCAGTGCAAGTGCTAAACTGACTGTTTTATGTAACTTGTTGTTTTCTAGGTCTTCATGCTGGAGACTCAGTGCTCCCCAAAGACTCCTAGCAACAAGGAAGGGTTTGAACATGCCCAGTCATGTGTGCTCATCATTGACCTGCCACCAGATAAGAAACCAAATGGGCATAGCCAGAGAAGGTAAAGTATCTTCTCAGGAAAATACTATGTCATTAAAAGTAAGATAAAAATATTTCCACACAGAGATGTGAACTGAGCCTGGCAAACTATACCTCTCCCTAGAGCTCATAAAAAGAAATGAATACTCTGATCAAATTAGGTTTTGTGACACTGTTATGTTTGTAATGATACCTTGCAAATGCAATGTCTGCTTCACTAATGGTCTTTTAAATTCAGTATTACTCAATTAAGAAGGTGAAAAAAGTTAATGGATAAGCTGGAACAGTATAAATTGAAGAGACCACATCCAAAGCTGTGAAAAACTGTCAACATATTGAGCTAGGGAATATTGATTTTGCTTGGCACTTTATTTTTGTGGAAGTCCTTCCATTATGTTACCGCCTCAGAAATTCATGCATTTGCATGACAATCTGATCCCGTCAAAGAATATTTCTTTTTGCTTGCACTCGGTTCTTTAAACAACTGCTGTAACATCAGTAGAGCCAAGAATCAGAATTCTGCATTCAGGGTTTGTGTTTGTATTGCGAGGTATAAAATACATGGCATGAAATTGTCTTTTACAAAATACCAAACCTACTTCTGTACCACTTCAGGCAGTCTCATTCAAATCTAAACTATTGCTTGCAACAAGGAGGCAGAATGTGATGGTTCTTCTTTGGCTGAACTGGAAGATGTCTCTGTTCTTACACAGCTGTATAGAAGTTTCCCCTGAGAGCACGTGCTCTTTCTCCTTGCCTTCAGAGCACAGGGCCCTGTGCAGAGACAAAGAAAGCTTAAGATCACAGTCTAAACCCTTCCTTTGTGGTGGGAAAATATCTGCTTTATTCAAAGGTTAGCAGATTATTCATCTTGTTATAATGAAAGCAAAGCGAAAGACTGGAATACTCACCTCTCACAGCGCACAAGGCCATGCAATCTAACAGGCTCTGTTTGTAAAGGTAGTGTGGGTCTTGCTTATCTTTAGATAAATAAATGTATAAAGCTTGCAATTACTACAAACTCTGAATGCTCTCACACTGCGCTTTGTCTAAACAACTGCAAAAAGTATATATGCCAGTAAGCGTTACCCCAGCAATACTAATTTTTTCACCAAAACATAGCTCAAAAGTTGACTGTGCCACTGTTTTTCTTATTATTTGCTACAGCAGTGCAGTAATATGCCAGTCATGCATGCTAGTAACTGTGGCCTTTCAAAAGTTTTACTTTAACCTTAGCAGGGTTTCTCTTCTCCCTTTTGCTTTTGTTTCCTTAATGCTGCATCGTTTCACAGGAAGCTGGGGTAAGGGAGCTTTTCTTCTTCCTAAAAAATAATCATATATTTCATTTTGAAACTTTGGAGAATAAGAAAATACTATCCTTAACCAGCTTTGACACTGTGTTTTCACCTATATTGCTGTACTAGTTTGTTTTGGGATTGAGCAGTACTTTACACTGTCCTTGTAAATTGCTTTTTTGGCTATTACAAGGAAAGCAGATCTCCTTCATTACTGACCATGCTTTTGAAACAGGATTAGTTGCTTGAAATCACTGCAAGCTCTCATTTAACTTTATACGTGCTCTTAAGAGCTTTTCTGAGTCAGAGCCTCTAATGATTTTTACAGCAGAAAACTACTTCCCCATAAAGAGCACCATTATATGTGTTAATCATCAAGATTTTAGCACTGTGAGATAAATTTTACCCACATATCAGCACTGACAGCTGTGTCATAGTAAGCGAACTGACATGAGTAACTTAAACTGAGAAGAACAGTCTGAACTTTTTTTTCAATGTTTCATTCTCAAAGCCGAGTTTTGATATGATTTCTTAAAAAAAAAAAAAATTAAAATTAGACTTCTTGTTTTGGTGTTCCCAAACACTTTTGAAAGCTGTTTAATGAAAGGGGAATAATTTTTGCAACAAAAAATATTAAAGGTCTACGACTGAACTTCCCATGTTACATGAAGATTTGCTTTAACTTAGACCTAAAACTTCAATATTGCAAGCAAACTGAAAAATCTTTTCCTCACTCGATAGCCATGCAAATTAAAACACAACCCATCATACATCAAAACAAGTATTGCTGTATGTATCTGCTCCATTTAAAACATAGCCACTGCAGTCTTATGCAAAGACTTTTATTTAAAGGCCTTAAGATAGGTTCCATACTTTATAATTTTAAATCCATGAGATACCAAACAACAATCGTGTCCACCCTTTCTTCCAAGCCTTACTTGCCTGTAAGCCTCTCAGTATTATTTACTGGTGAATGACCTGAAAACTTCTGTTGGAGGAATTTGCCATTCCTGGGTCCCCTGTGCAAATCAAATATGAGTGAGGGCTAGAACAACTCCCAGCATGTCTGTAACAGGAGTACAGCTAAGAATATTATATGTGAGAAACAGGGTTAGGAGTAGATATTTCCATGCTAGCTTCTCAGTGTTCAAGTTGGTCTTAAGAGCAAACATGTGCCTTCAGCCAGACTTCAGCTTGTTTGCATGCTGCATTGCACTGCTGCTGTTTCTGTACATGTTTATTTATTGGTTGGTTGGCTCTTTGAGGTTTATTTTAAGAAATACTCTTGGCATTAGTGGAAATGGAAACCAAATAGTAAACTAGTTTTGGCTTCAATTTATCATGGCAAGGTTAAGGTTGTCTGACATGTTGGTGGAAGGGTAACTTTTGTGTTGACGAGTCCTTCAGTTATAGCAGGCTGAAATATTGAGCACACTTGCAGCTGCCAGAAAACTAAAACCCAGAATATTTAATCCCTCAGTGTCAGACACTGGAGAAAAGGACAAAAATCATAATAGAGTTTTGTTTTAATACCATCTCTACACAAGTGCCATTAGCGTGCTTGCTGTGGACAATTTTTGCTTAAACCAATCCAAGAGTCTTCCCTTTTAGGAAAATATTTGAAAGAGTAGCTGAAAGACCATTCTAGACCGCTTTATCTTTCTCCACTTCTTTTGTAACAAGGCTGTGAAAATTTGGCCTTTCATTTGCACTTTTTGTTTTAGATTCTACAATATAAAGTAGTTCTGTACTCCTAGTGAAAGCACAATGCACCGCTTTAATATTCTGTGATTTTTTCCTTCCTATGCTTGGTTTACCAAGTATTCCTTTCAGGACGATAGTGGTGAGCTTGCTGTCCCACCAAGTACTGCTCCAGAATTTATATGACATCTTACTGGAAGAATTCGTGAAAGCCCCTTCTAACTTGGAGGAGAAAATGACAATACAAGTACCAGAAAACAAGTTGGCTGGTTTTCTCAGGTACATCTCCATGCAAAACCTGGCTGTCATCTTTGACTTACTGCTGGACTCCTACAGAACAGCCAGAGAGTTTGACACGAGACCTGGTTTGAAGTGTTTGCTGAAAAAAGTATCTGGCATAAGTGGAGCTGCCAACTTGTATCGACAGTCGGCAATGAGCTTCAACATCTACTTCCATGCCTTGGTCTGTGCAATCCTGACAAACCAGGAGAACATCACTGCAGAGCAAGTGAAAAAGATCCTCTTTGAAGATGATGAGAGAAGCACAGACTCATCACAACAGTGTTCTTCAGAAGATGAAGACATTTTTGAAGAGACTGCCCAGGTCAGTCCCCCCCGAGGGAAGGAGAAGAGGCAGTGGAGGGCTCGTATACCATCTCTGAGCGTGCAACCCGTCAGCAATGCAGACTGGGGGTGGCTAATCAAGCGGCTTCATAAGCTCTGCATGGAACTGTGCAACAACTATATCCAGATGCATCTGGACCTGGAGAATAATGTAGAGGAGCCTCCAGTATTCAAAGGTGACTCCTTCTTCATTTTACCATCTTTTTACTCAGAAACCTCCACCCCATCGACTGGAGGGCTATCTGGAAAGGACACACCATCAGAAGATGACCGCAGTCAAATCAGGGACCAACTGGGAGACAGCCTGACACCTCGAGGAGGAAGTGGAGAAATGTTGCTGCTCCCCCCACCCTTAAGTCCTAAACCAGAGAAAAAAGAGCAAACCAAGAAAAAAGAATGGTGGGAGAGTGCTGGCAACAAGATCTACACTATAGCCACTGACAAAACCATCTCCAAGCTCATGACAGAATACAAGAAGAGAAAGCAGCAACAGGCCATGACATCCTTCACCAAAGAGATCAAAGTGGAGAAGAAAGGGGAGCTCCTGGGTTCAAGAGGGCCAGATTCACCCGTACTCCAGCGGCCACAACATCTTATAGATCAAGGTCAAATGAGGCATTCATTCAGTGCTGGTCCAGAGATCCTGAGACAAGAGAAGAGACCACGCTCAGGATCTACAGTCAGCTCCTTGAATATATCTGTTAGGGATGCTGAGGCCCAGATACAGGTAGGACATTCTTGTGGAATGCTAATAATAATAACAATAAATAAAAATATACCTATACATATTTTTAATTGATTTTATTATAATCTTTTCATTAAATGCCTTTTTATATAAAGAAGTCCTCATGATGAGCACTGAATCTTGCAGCAGCTGGTACTGATAAAAACCTGATTCTGTCCTATTAAAATAAAGTTGGTCTTTAGGGAAGTGTTATCAGGCATATATATACTAGTTCAACTTTCAAGAGTGTTTCTGTGACTTGGGTCAAAGCTGCACTTAATCTTAAGAACTAGTAACCTACAGCAAACTCATTGCTTACTGCTGAGGGCTCTAGCCCCCTTAAAGCTTTTGAAAACAGCATGCTCCTTGTCACAATGTTTTTGTACTTGAGGTTTTTTTGTTAATTCCAGAGCCGAAATAGTGGGCTCTGTTGCTAAACAGAAACTTGCTGCTTGCATGTCCAAGTGAACAAATCAGTGAAAGCATCAAACTTGACAGACTTTGTTCACTGTGGGACAAAAAAAAAAGTGATGAAGGCTGAGCATGATACTTGCAATACAAAGTCAAACAATTACTTATGGTACTGAATGTGAATTAGGAATACACAGTGAACATTAAATGAATATGCTGGCATTACTCAGTCCTCTTCATGAGGCTGTAGCCACTAGATATCTTATTTTGTGCCTCAACCAATGGGCTCATCTGTTTAGAAAGGTCTTCTAAAGAGTCTTTTCTTTCTGTCCAACTTATTTATAGGCATGGACCAACATGGTGCTGACAGTTCTCAACCAGATTCAGGCCCTGCCAGACCAAACTTTCACAGCCCTGCAGCCAGCAGTGTTCCCCTGTATCAGCCAGCTGACTTGCCATGTGACAGATATCCGTGTCCGCCAGGCAGTACGGGAATGGCTGGGAAGAGTGGGGCGAGTTTACGATATCATCATTTAAACCAAGCAGTGCTCTGTTGCAAAGGGCAAAAGGCATTCAAGGTATACAGCAAAGAAGTATTTGGGGTTCATTAGTTGCCTATTTGTTGGTCGTAAATTAAGAAACAACGAGCTTGTTGATTTATGTCATCCACTTGAGATTGTGTGTTCCTCGCTCACACTAGCAAAGGAGGCAAAACATGAGTCTGTCCAAGTGTCTGGCATGGCCCCAGAACCCAGAAACTACCAGTAAGTCAGGCTGGTACCTGAAGGGGTGATAGATTTCAGTACCCTTCATTTTAATTCAAATTTGCGACAGTGGGAGCCACAAGAAACTGCAGCAGAACTTCCACACTTGCAATTAGCTGTGAATGCAACTGTCATGTGGATGTCAAACCAGGTCAGTAAGCCTATGTAACTTAAATAAATAAATAAATGCAAGTCAGGAAAAAGATGGAGCTGTATGACAAGCAAAAACATGACACTTTTTAGGATAACATTTTCCCTTCAAAAATTAGCATGAGAGAGGATAGGCAACTAAAGACTATTATAGTACCCATATACATCACTTACTAAAGAAAGTGGAAATTGATTTTGCTCCAAGAAGAGCCTTTGAAGTCTGGTCACATTTGGAGTAGCTAAAGTATTCCAGGTCTAAAACTGGTGAACCAAGCACAGACTATTGATCCTTTTCATTGCTCTTGTGGAGTATTGCTTGAAGAGAAATGGCACTGTCGAGCTGCCCTCTCTCCAGTGCTACCCTGGCTGCCTCTTCAGCTATGCCTACAGCTGACCACTTTTTCACAGGTCAAATTCCCCCTAAGGGCAAAAGGGAAGTTTGTTTTGTGTTTCCTGTGAAGCTGTGGGGAAGACACAACACAGAGTAAATACCAGCATGTGCCGGTATGCAACATTCAACGAAGCAGAATAGGGATAAAGTGTTCCAGTTTAAGCAACACTGTGGCTATGATTCTACTGGAAATTTGTTTGCTTATATAGAGCTGCTGTAACCAGGAACACCCTTATCACCTTTGTTAAATGTAGCCTATCATTTCACATTGAGCTGAAGCAAGATGGAAAATAGTCTGAAAGTCTTTCCTGTTTCTCTTCCATTTCTTACCTGCTGCTCCTCGTGGAGGTTCATCCCCCTCTGTGCAGCACTCCTATAGGGACTACTGCAATTTGCTGTTATTAGGAAGAGGGAGGAGAAGGGGAAGGATTGACTTGTGTTGTCAAATGCATATGTGATGCTCTTCGCACTAGACACAGCAAAGGGTTACCTTGCAGCACAAGTTATGTCACGGCCCCTGGGACATTCCATCTGGAACTCCCATGCCACATAATTTGTTGATCAGAGTTGAAATAACTTGTTGAAAATAAGTTGATTTTTAATCTTTGGTGACCCCCTTAATGCTGTTCTCCCAAGATTTTAAAATGTGCATACCAACTAAATATACAGCTTCAGTCCCCACTCCAAAGCATTCTAAAAATGTCATCTCTTTATATCAGGCCTGGATTTTGCACAACTAACTGCTTTTAGCATCTTAAACCTAGAAAACCCAAGGGAGCCAAGAGGCTTCACTGAACAGCCATCACCCAAACTGCTGTGTTTACAAAGAATCTGCCACTATCCTCCTGCCTTTTCCCTCTGTTGCCTACTTTCCATTTGTCACCTGTTAGACTTGTGCAGGGAATATTTGTCCCATAAATTTCTGTAGTGTCAGTCATGCTGTTTCCCTTTCTTTCGAAACTTCTCTTTGCTAAACTGTTTAAAGGACATAAAAGTTCCATAAAAACAACTCTTTCGTACCACCTAAACTGAATTTTTAAATGACCAAGAATTTTTTCAATTGTCAGTTTTCTCCCAACAGTTTAAATACTTCCTCGGGGACGGTTAGATTAGCCTTTGGTATCTGGGAGAGTTGTAGCACAGTTTGAGTTCTGTTGCCATGTCCTTCTTATACATCTTTAGGTAGAGTAAAAGAGTGGTTATATTTTTTGTGCAAGTTTTTACTGGGCATCTATATAGAACTGGTTTTAAAGCAGTACATTAGTTAGGCAACAACAGAAATCAGAATAATAAACCATATGCAAAACAGGTTTTGATTATTTAAAGAAACCCAGGTTTTCATTATAAATTATATGAATGGATGCAGATCCTTGTGGTACTGATCTAAAACTAAAAAAAATCGCTAGATTACGTTGGGGTACTAAAATTGGTAGCAGTACTGGTGAAATCACCCAGGACTACAGAAGAGACCCTAGTATCTAGGAAACACTATGGTTATATGTTCTGGTTGCAATACAAAATCCTTCTGCAAAACAGAAAAAAAGCTCTAGGAGTGACAATACCACTACCACCTCTCTCAAGTCATGAATAGTATAACCTAGTATTATCTGATTAGCCACCATCTTGACCTAAAATATAATTTAATTTCAACTATTTACACTAGAACTACCATACTGGAAAATGAGGAGTAGATTTGCTATACTGCTGTTGCCCTGTTTTAAACATTGTCCTTCAAATTGTGCACCAAGTGCCCATTGTCACCCTCAGTGCCTCTTCTTATTAGCACCCCTCCATAAGAGGTCATGAGTAACTTTGAGTAATTCCAGAAACGTGATTTAAAAGGAGGGGTGTGGGGTTTGAAGCAGCAAGCTTTACATAGCAAAATTCAGCATGTGCTGCTCTTCCTTTTCTTTATGTGTTAAATGATAAGCAGGTGAGGAGAGCAGCCCAGGGCCACTTCAGTAACCATTTATCTGAGATGTAGAAGCCTTCTGATGCACCTTCAAATTATAAACAAATAAAAAAATTGAGTTAGTTCATTGGATTCTCAGCAATTTTTTTGCTAGTTTAGCCATAGACATCAGCGAGCCCCAAAGAAGTAGAACAATAAACGCGTGAAGTCACTATTTCATAGGTCTGTGCAATCTGTTTCATGCCTCATGGCTGCCAGCGTGATACCTTTCAACCTCAAGCTTTTAGCCCAAAGGAGGAGTCTGCCAGGACAGTCCCAGGAAAAGGTGACTGGCATCAGCCTGTCATAAGCTTCAGGAGGGGATTCCCAAACATCCCAGTCATGTCCAGCTACCTGTCCATGCTACAGCAGCTTTTCTGCTTTCCACTTGTGAGTGGGGAAGCACCTCAGTCAGCAGCACAAAGTAGCCCTTGTACACATGTAAGTCTTTCTCACACATATAACCCATTCAAATCCTCACTTATAGCTCTATAACCTAATGCATGAGCTAACAGCAGCATCTTGGCAGCTTTACTCTGGTGGCTTGACATCCTTCTCAGGTACCAGAGCTGCACCTCTGCTGCCTTTGCCTAATTCACACTGCCCTCCTCAGGGTCACTGCAGCAAGCAGAGGCAAGGACACTCGTTTTCAAATCTTGTAGGCAACCACTAACAGAGAAAGTTGCTGTTGTCCATCATCAACTACCTTTAAGCACATGAAATAGCTCATCACTGTGCAAATATTTAAAGTGGACAAAAGCAGAGCACTCATCAAGAAAGTGATCCTTCTCTTACGTACCAGAAGCAAGGTTTGACCCCAGCTTACATGATCTCAGGCCATTGCATGTGTTTGCACTTTATTCCGTACTGTGAACACATGCAGACATATGAGATGATTGATGCGTGTATCTACAGATACCTGTAGCTCCAGTCGCTGTCATATTCTGAGCATTCAGCAGATTTACAGAGAGCCAATCCACGTTAGTAATATGTTTATCATGCTGTCCAAGTGCTTATATCACACCAGCACTGGTTAACGCGGTTACTCTGGTACATTTTCTAAACATTCATCAGCCATAGAATTACCACCACTACCTTTTGGTTAACATACTTTCATGTCCTTAAGATGTTAAGATACGGATTTAATATTTTCCTGGGGATAAACACTCATGTGAGAATAACTGACTTAATTTAGCATCTGGAAAGAATTGCTAGGAAAAGATTTAGGCAAAACTTTCCTTGTACAACTTCAAGCACAGGCAACAGTTTTTTGCCTTATCACAGATAAAAAATTCATGTCCTCAGCACTATGGCTGGCTCATGCCAAGGCCAAGCACAGTTTACACCTGTGACTTGTAAGGTGCTTTGCCTTTCAGGTTGAGCTTCAAGTTTTTTTAAAACCTAAACATTAACCTAAATTCACTGACAAATTCTCGCTCGCCAAAGATATAACCCCCACCTCTAAGTACCTTACGTTACTGTGTGTAATCATCATCTGTACTTGATACAGCAGCATTTCAATGTTGGTATTGACACTTCAGAGCTTGGCACAGCACTGGCGTGAAACCGAGCAGCAAACAAACTAGCAAGTAGAGAGGTCCAGCTCCATGTGCTGCCTGCACTTTGAATGTGGGCCTAACCTGTGAAGAAAGGTACAAAGTGCCAAAGCTGTTGAAATCAATGGAAGTTAAGTACCTAGACATCTTCACTACTCAGGACTCGGTCCTTGAATCCTTTAGTCTCTACATACGGGTTTACAAATTCTCAGGAAAGGGTAAGTCCTGTACAGTTCCTCGCATCACCCATTCTGCTGCTGTCCCCTATACAGCTCCTACTTGAAGAATCCACAGGAACCAGCACATAGTCCCATGCATCCCGGTGCTGCAAAATTGGAACCTTTGCTTTTGCACAGATCCAGTAGGAGGCTGACCCAAACAAGCTGAAGTGTTTTATTTTTTACCTACCTCCTCATCTGTGTAGAAGCCAATTGAGAAACTGAGCGTGTGGTTTGGCTATTGTCACCTTTAGCAATCCATTCTAGACATGCCATTTCTCAGTGATAAATTGTTTTTAATTCACAAAAAAAGGGAATTGCTCTCTTTTTTTTTCCCGCTTTTGTACTAAGATCATGTTTAAGCAGGCTACTTACTCATTACTCCAGTTACAGTCATTTATGAAAAGACCTGTGTACATGACAAAAAAAAACCCTAACTGTATTTTGTAAGTATAGAAGGACCAAGTTACCATAGCACAGAAGCACAAATGTTGGATTTTATGCAATATAGATAACAGCATCTGGCAGCTAGTGATCCCTCTTCACTGAAACTCCCTATTTTGAGTGGAGCTTCTATAGGGATATGACTAAAGGGTCTCTTAGTGGCCCTCACCAGCAACACACCTGGGACTCCAGGAAGTTGTACAGCTGCAAGGAAGAAGTCGTATATCCTCTTTCTGTTGTTTCCACTAATACCCCTCAGAACATATACTTAATATGTAACACTAATATACTAAACAGACAGATTTTGCCAAACATGCAGTGCTGGATATTTAAAAATAAAAAATGAAAACACACATGGCCTAAGTATGCACCAGTCTTTTCACTTAGTGGTCAGAGATCTCCCAGCTGAAAACTAAAACCAGAGGGAAGAAGAAATGCCCTAATTCTGTGGTTATTAGTGGAGCTGCACTGTATGATCCTGGATTAATGCAGTACTGAGCTTGCCTGTGGAACCAGATCCCTCAAATTCCAGTTTTTGGCAAAATCACAGGTTGAGGTTTGCATAGTCTCCACTGCCACATTGAATCAGGGTTTATGGAAAGCATTTTTGGTTAAGAAACATGGCAACAGGATCTATTTCAATCCTTTTACCCCAACATCCCACTTTTCAAAAGGTAGTTTATGTACTTCCATAAATTTCATCTAAATACCATGGAGCACCAAGGCTGTTTCCTATCCATGCATTTGGTTCATCTGGGCTGCACTGAAGTGCCATGCTTTCACAAGAAGCAAGCTGCAGTGAGAGAACTGAGCTAGCTGAGAGGCACAGGTACACAGGTGAAAGCAAGGGACAAATACCACCTCCATAAGCAGGCTGTGGCTCCTGAGCCACCTACTCTGCAGGGGAAGGCAGGATTCAATACCAAAGGGGAAACAGCCAGGAATGGCAGAGCATGGTGGTGACAGAGCCCTGTACTGCGTGTTGTTTGCTGGCGCAGATGGGAGCAAGAGATTGAAAAGTACACAATGACAGTAGCAAGCACCTTCTTTCAGTTCCTCCTACTTTCTGTTCTCTGCCTCTTTTCTCTCCCCACTTTTGGTCGTTATTTATGAGACTGCAAACATACTTCTATGGGCCCTTCAACCAGAACTGAAGGCAAGCCAAAGGGAGTGAACACTCCATTTCACCAAAGATCTAAGCTTTTCCTGTTTGAAAATTAAAAAAATAAAATTTTATTTCCATGATGATGGCTGCCACAGGAAGCATTTTACCACAAAACATGATTCCCAGGACTTAATCTCTCTAGCTGTATATTCAGGAGGAGCCAATAATATTTTTTAAGAGAGACTATAAATCACCTTGTCAAGCAAGTGCTTACATGGGGTTTACCTTCTGCTAATTTGATACCTAGCTGCAATTCCTTGGTCTCATCCATGTTTCCTCCCTCTACCTTTCTGCTCTTCTTTAGAAAAACACCTTCCTATGTCCGCTGCGTCCTGTTGTGCCGCTAGCTTTGTATGGTCCTTGGGTGTCCAGTGGTCGGGCAGTCACTGTCAGCTGGCTTGCAAATTGTATTTTGTGTATATTTTATTCTGACTGAATTCTGAAATGGAAATATTTTAAAACAAAAAGTATAAACTATTTATGTTGTTTGTGTTGTAGAATAAAGACTCAAATGCAAAATAAATTATGCTTTGGTTTTGTCTAACAAAAATTATTTTACAGTTCCTGATGAAGCAAAGGAACAGAACTGAGAAAGGGCCTGAAATATGTGGTATGTACCAGCAGGGACTGCTGTTTTTATGGATGACCTGCGGAATTTAGTCACTATGAACTGCTGGGGTTTTTTGATGGCAGGTGAGATCTAAGCACTGTAACAAATGAGTCCTGCAGCACTCCTAGCTAGAGTCTGGGCTTGTAAGGGTGGAAAAGGATAAAGCTGCTGAGGCAGCTAAAGGTCCATGCAGAATTTTGAAGCATCTAAACAGGTGAAACATTTCTCCCTCCATTAAAATGAGGAAAATACTTTTGGTTTTGATTTCGTTAGAGATGGGTTCATTGGAGCTCTCATGCAGAACCAAACTTTTGTTGCATTCCCTGACCACAGTCAGTTTAGCTAGCACTCAACACGTGTTCCCAACCTACAGGTGCATGCAAACAGCATGGTTACTGCAATGTTTCATCTTGCTAAAAAGCTCGGCAAGGGCTCTCCCCATCACCTAAATCCCTCTTTTGATTAAAGTTGAATCAGTGATTGCTCCTGATGACAAAAAACCTTTTGTTTAATGAAAATACTTAATGAAAACAGTGAACACCTTCACAGCAGCCACACATGCTTTGGTATGCAACCAAAACGTACTGAAGGAGAATGGGTTGGCCAGTACCCCTGTCAAAAGAATTGCCATAGGCCTTCCTGAAAGCAGGAGTGTTCCAGTGACGGTACATAGCATCATACAATAACCTTTAGGGTACACCATTGTGTGCTCAGGGATGCTCTCCACAGCCCAAAGGCAAGCTTGCCACATAAGAGTGAAAATGCAGCCAGCATTCTCACCTGGCCTCACTGGTTCTCTGGGCATGGGCTCCCATACACTGAAATAACACAAGGTCTGGCCTTCGATATCTGTTACGTAACAGCCTCATCAGCATGAAGGTTAAGAGCAGATTACAAAGCAAATAAATGAGGTTGTGATGCTTTAATAATCTTACGCACTTCTGGTAAAACAAGAGTGTGTTAAATCCTAACTGTCAGATCTAATTTCATTCCAGGAAACCACCTTCTGCTACTCCACACTTCTCATTTAGATCCCATTAGAAAGATTTTCATTTCTTCTTAAACACCACTCAGTAATGTGAAACAGCAACAGGGTAAATACAGAGAGTACTGCTCCACTATTCCACTCACTCCTTACATGTACAAATTTCCAGCTGCCTTCCCACTTAATGCTGGGGTCAGACTAGCATGGCTTCTGCTGCCTCTGGTGCAAGAGGTCCGTCCATATGTGATAGAAGGGGTGACCTTGCTTTTTACTTATCTAGAAGAAGCTAGGTCTTCTTCTATTATCGAGGAGCGAAGTGTTAAAAACATTTGTCAAAGAAACCAGCTGTCGAGAAATATTTAAAAAACAAACAAACAAAAAAATAAAATAAAAAAAGAAAGAGACTAAACAGGCACACTGTTAAATTTCACTATTAAATTGGTTCACTGACCAAACCTGTGGCAGAATTCAAAATAAGAAGTAGAACAAGGCCTGGGTTCTGTCTGCTGAGCTATGTGAAATGCAGGGTGATCTCTGATTTTGGAGCTTTTGGCAAAGAAGCTAGCATCAGGATAAACCTCTTAACGTCTAATATCACCGTAAACAAACACAAATTGAACTGTATCCAAATGCTTTACACAGTGTCCTAGAACAATGCAGTCAGTATCCAGATTTCAAAACCCAGAGAATCCCAAATAAATCAAAATAATTTAGTTGTAAGCACAGGTCAGCTAGGTCTTACTCTTATCATGAAGAAAAAAAAAAAAAAGAAAAAACCCAAACCCAACAAATTAGTGAGGCTGCATGTGCAAATTTCTGACTCCTAATAGAAATCCATTGTAGTAAATCTGGTTTAGTCTTTTGTTATGTTTTCTTTTTGCAAGAGATTTTTATCTTTCTCTACACTGTAATTACTGGGAAATGTGTATCCATAAAGTAGAAGCAATATTTCTGATTTGCCAGCTCTCAGGAAATATGCCCAACCTGAAATATTTTTGTTCACTGTGGTTAGTGTGACCACTTCTGAGGATATCTCTCATCATCTTCATTCCCTACCACAGTCAGACAAAATTAGTGAAGATTAATTTAGAATACTTTACTGTGTAGCATTTATAAATTATTTACTGCTTTTTAATGTTACATTACATCCCTGGCAGACTGCTTTGTACTTCTAATCAGTTTCTCCTTTGTGTCAGAGATTAGAGGGAGAGAAAGAGATCAAAACAAAACTGGTTAAGATGCTATATTGAAATCTATCCCTGTAAGTAATTTTGTCCAGGAGGTCAGAAACAGGCAAATCTTCAAGCTTGGGAAACAATAATGTCAAACATAATGAGAAAGTGAAAAATGGCTTTGAAAATGTATTGCAGTAACTAATCTAAGGAGGGGAAGGTGACAAGGCTCTTGGTTCATAATGCTCACTTGTAAAAATAATTTCATCTTCCCTTTAGAAAACACAGGAATCGATTTCTGGGTAGAATTGTTATGGTGGCACCACAAATGCAAGGGCTCTGATAAAAATGTTCTTTTAAAATCCCAGCTGCTGAGATGGGCACCAGAGCAGATCTTATATCTCTTGCATACATTACCTTTTCTTTTAAAAGGACACTAAATAATTGAATATCTCAATGCAGGCTCTTGTGACCAGCCCCAAGCCCAAGAGAATAAACACTGTTAGTTTGCAAAGTCAACCATGAAACAAAACAAAACAAAACAAAGGAAGATTTAAATCTAGTTTGAAATTTTTTTTTTACAAGTTTGAAAATTTGTTAGGCAGAGCTGTGCTGAGACTAGGACAAGAAGTATGACCACAATTAAGTGTCTGTTCGAAGGGAGGGTGTATAGAGTAAGCCATGTTGTTCTAGACAATGGCACAGATCTTCATAGATATGCAGTGACTGCTAAAGAAAAACAGGATGAGAAAGAAGAGCCTGGGGCAGGGCACAAGAGCCAAACCACATCACTTAGAGTGTCTCTTTTAGACACTCAAACCAAGCCAGGTTGGCTGGACATTCATCCCTTTCAAGAAGGCTTCATCCTGCATATGGCAAAAAGTAATGTCTGGAGTAAAATAAAGTTTAAAAATCCCTAAACCATGAAGATCAACATCATAACATAAATGCCTCTAATCAGTCAGGTCTAGTGCAGCCCCTTCAACCTGGGCACATTATAACTGCTCACCCATACAGGCCACATTGACCCACAGCAGCTCCCTAGTTCCTCTTGCTGTAACACACCAAGTCACTTGACATTGAGAGTGTGAGGATATGCTGGGATGGGAGGATCTCCACCTTGTAGCAGAATCAAATCTTTATTTGTCCAACAGACAGTATCCAATAACAGACATGCCTCAGATGTTCTGCTCACAGCTGATTCTCTTTGTATTCCACTGCCCCAAGCAAAAACTACTTGTTCTTTAAAAAGAAAGTCCACATTTAATCAGACTGGCCCTAGGCTTTCGCCACTGTCCAACTGTGAGCAACACTGGAGCTTCACACAGGAGCAAGATTTTGCACAGCAGCATCAATACAGCCCATGCAGCCTGAATTGGAACGCACCATGGGGCACTCTCTTCCCACCTACCCAGAAGCAAGTCTTTTCTCAATACTCAGTCTTTTCTCAATGCAGTGGGTATTTTCTCAATACTCTCTCAAATGACAATAAAATCTCCTGAATTTAGGATGTGACGGTCTGCACACTTGGAAGAACTCTTCAAATCATTGATTCAACCAGCCCAAATGCCAGAGCAGAGTCTTCTTTATGTTTTGCTACAGTTTTGGCCCTTCTTGTACAAGCCCTCACCTCAATATCAGCTTTTCACAGAAGACACTATCACATAACTCTATACACCTTGACATCAGCACATCATTCTTGGGCTGCAGTTTGCATGTGCTAGCTGAAAATCTAGCCTGTTAATTATAAAGGGCTCACACTGAGTAGTGGTTCTTCACAGCTCCGCTGTCCAGGTATTCCTAATGTGCAATTATTCCCCTCCAAGCATTCACACATCCCTTAGACAACATATTTCTTTCATGATCTGTTTGCAATGCCACTCCCAGCTGCCAAGGTAAGCCTCTCATTTTAAGAAGCCACATTTAAAGCCTTTGCATCCATGGTTTTCTATGGAGGGTGTTGCATGGTGCCTTATCTTTTCTAACACCAAGACCCTTTTACTTCCAATCTTGTAGCATACTTTCCACTTGCATCTCCTTAAGCTCTCATCTCCCTAGTGTGAGGGAAAATGTGGCAGTGCCTTTATCCTGTTGTCCCAAGTGTTCTTGCCCTTATGGCCTTACACTGTTCAATTCCGAATTATTTTTACATCAGAAATGTCTGCCTTTCATCTTTAACTCATCCCTTTTTTCCTGTCTGCCTCCTGACATCTTAGTTTCCAGTCTATAGCTCCATTGTAAGAGCTTTTCAGCCTTTCCCTCACAGTTTTTAGCAGGCAACTTCTGCACCTATGAGGGTAATGGCGTTTTATTTATCCAACAGACAGTACCCAATAACAGACATGAGCAAGGCACAGCAAACAATCAGCATGCAGCTCAGGCACCACATCAACTGTGACATGATTGATGCTAACAGCATCATAAGCAAAAACAACCAATGGGTCATTTGAGCAGCTCCCAGTGGGTCACACTCAGCAGTGTTACATGCCAGCTGCTGCACCAAGAGGACACCCCAAGGAGGAGGACACCTGCCTGGGTGTCCCTTATTTCTCACCTCACTGGTGGGGAGTTTTCCCTTTTCTCTGCCCCTTCAGGTACCCCTGCCACCACCTCTGCTAATAAAGCCTCATGCATTTAAGGCTAGCTGACCTGCCTCTGTACAAGAAAGGTCATACTCTCAAATCTAGGCTTGACTGCCATTTTGCTGACAAGTTGAACTACTAACCAGTATACTTGAGAAAATAAAGATCTTGCCACATCTGCAGATTTGAGGTCTCTTTCATATACAAGATTTTCTTAATGTATTTAATTCCTTTAGCAAACTTTATCTTACAGGTTGCAGGAGGTTGTGCATCTTCTCCATGAGTTTGAAGTAAAAATCTTTAGATTCAAATCAGGAGATTCAGCTTCAGGATGTGAGCTCTGAAATGGAACAGTACACAAAATGTGTGCTATTTCAAGCAAAACAGTACAAAATTGCTTAAAGCCTCTCAGCTGATGCTCTGTTAAATAATACACACTTCAATTGAGGGAGTTTCATATAGATTCAGAAGTCCATGGACAGGAATAATTTTCTCCCTTGTCCTGAAGGGCCAAAAGGTGTTCCTTGGCCTTTCATTGACTACTGTGTAAAACACTGAACAAATGTATCCTGATTTATAGCCCCAGTTCTCATATGGATACAGCCTGCAGCTTCAGGGAGGGCACCTAACCAGGGGCTGGGGTTAAGGAGGAGCAAACAACCTGCCTCATCTGTGCTACAGGCTAGTCAGTGAGATCTGGGTAACCTCTGCTACTTAACTAACTTCCAGCATACTACAGCTTTCTCCTTATGGTTTCTCCCTTGTCTCTCCAAGAGGCCACTTGAGGAACTGGCAGTGCTTCCCTAACCTTTAAACCCTCCTTTTACAGAGTCTGAATGTTTCCCCCACTACTGTGTCTTTGGTCCAGTTTGTCACACCGCTTCTCGTCACATGTATATGGGCAACTGCAGCCTGCTACGAGCCTATGTCCTGCATCAGTTGTTTTAGTTTATACAGATAGCTTTCAATTCACTCATTCTTTCTGTTATTGCTAAGATTGTTTCATGGAAGGAATATATTTCAAAAGCTGCACTTCCTCAGGTTTTCAAACGTTTCAAGCATTTTAGCAATGGCAAATGAAGAATTACAGATTAATTGTCAATGACAGGAAAGATACCTGGGCTTCTCTAAGTCTGTAATCAGTGACAATAGCATGTGAGAGATTATGTTAACACCTACAGTTCTTCTCTGGGGCTGTACCTGGCTTTAAAGTGATGACAAAGGACTAATAAGTCAATATGCATTTTTTCCACTCTGGTGAAGAAGTAAGCTAGTTTTAGAAGCTAGAAGAGCTATTACTTCTTTAACAGTGCTCTTTTAACCACACTGGTTCTAACCAACAATGTCAGAAAGAGTAACTCCTTTGGAATCTAGAGTGGATAGATTTTGCCAGCAGATGATATTAACCAAATCAGGCTATAAAGGTAAGATCATGCTTTTGTATAAAATCTACTGTTAGAAACAAGCACTGACACAGAGACTGCTGTATTTAGATACGGTCTCAAGATTTGATTTGGGGATTCACAATATTCTAGCAGAAAATTGTATCACTTTGAACAAAGAATTGAACACAAGACTGCAGATAGTTTGTGAGGTCCTTATCTAAAGCCTGCCCAGCATTACACAAGGTCAACAGCCAGGGTGAGCAACATCGAATACACTGAACAATAAGATAAATCTTAAAAGTTTACTTTTAAAATCTCACTTGAAGGTTAACCACACATTCACATTTCTCCTTAAAGGTTACTTCCCTATATTGGCAAACATTACCAGAAAAAAACAGTAAAAGAAACTAAGTGTGGACAGAAAATACAAAAAAACCTATGTGCCATTCTTTAAGGTCAGGGTAACACACACATCTGCTCTGCTTCCTGAAGCCTTGTAAAAGGAAAGATACAGCCATCATTGCAGATACTACAAATATTGCAATTTATAATGGTGTCCATAGTTGGTATTTAGATGCAGGCAGATTTTACACCTCTAGTAGGCGATTATTGAGTAAAAATATCACAGATATGGAATATTTCTTTATTATTATTATTGTAAAGAAAGAAATAGTTCAGCCTAATTTTTAGTGGTTTAACTTAAATTACGTTGTATTCCTGTTATTAGAATAGGATTAACTTTATTTAAAAAAAACGTAAAAGAGGATATATATTACATTGCTAGCAAATGAGTATTTTCTGTAGGAAATCTTAGTGAGGGTTTTCTCAGTCATATCTAAGGAATTACTATTTTTTTTACTTACAGAGACTTTATTTATTTTTATACACTGTGAAAATGTAAGCTTTCACACACTATGGGATAAGCTCTCTTCCTTATAGCAACATCTGCCTTTTCTTCACAGTCACACACCCTTTCACAGTTCCTCTCCTCTCTCTCTCTCCCTCCCCATCTTCTGGCTACCTGCTGCCATGAAGCTTTTGCCCCCATTGGGTATGCCAGCAGCATTGGACATTTATCCCCACTTGGTACCTTTCTATTTCCTTACTCCCGTTACCTGAAGCATTTCTAATAATTTTGTTTCTTTTTGGAATATCATCCTTATGAAGTAGCAAAATATTTAATCTCTCACTAAGCTTACGGTAACAGTTCTAAAAGCAAATGCAGCCAAAAGCATAATGTGGTCAGCTGGCTCTTCAGAAATGCTGGAAGTGCTTAAATGTATGTGCAATTCCAGTCTTTAGTAACATCAGCAGTGTTAGGTTTGTGGTTGGACTTGATGATCTTAAACGTCTTTTCCAACTTAAATGATTCTATGATTCCATTGTTATCTCAGACAAGTTGTCTGCAAACTGCTTATAACTGCATTTTGGGAAAGCAGACTCCACTAGACTCCTATGAAACTCAGGTTAAATTAAATAGCTGTGGAAGACAAGAGCTTACAACTCTGAGAATGAACAAAAGAGAGGTCACCCATCTACCTCGTGTCTAGCTAACCTTTGCTTCCTCTCGCTTACTACCTGTAGATCATGCCCATTTTCCAGTTCAAGTTCAGGATTCCCAAGTAGAACAGTGGTAATCCAGAAGTAAATTAAATTCAGCAACATATCTGCAAATGTTATGGTAAAATGGTGGAAGTATTATTGCATAATTTTTGAATGGCTCTTTCTTGTTCCTATTCTTTGTGCATATATATATATATATATATATATTCCTGATTTTGTTTAGCTAGGTAATATGCTAGAAAGTTCAGTTTTAATTTATGATGAAAATAACAGCCTTGAGTCAGCACATGTTGAAAAAACAATCTTTTATATATCTTGGAGGAGCAGAGGACAATTATTTGCAGGTTACAGCCTGAAAGCAATGATCCCTCACAGAGAAGCAGAATCAGTCAAGAATGTTTTTTCTTCAAGACTGAAGTCAGAGCACCCAAACAGCCATGCCATGGGCTCCACAGCAGGAGGCCACAGTGCTGGGATAAATTACAGAATCACCGAACCAAATCACCCAGGTTGGAAAAGAGATCTGAGATCATTGAGTCCAACCTTTGACTGAACACCACCTCATCTACCAGACCATGGCCCTAAGTGCCACATCTAGTCTCTTCTTAAATACCTCCAGGGATGGTGGGTGACTCTACCACCTCCGTGGACAGCCCATTCCAATGCCCAATCACTCTCTCTGAACAGAACTTCTTCCTAATGTCTGACCTAAACCTACCATAGTGCAACTTAAGACTGTTCCCTCTTGTCCTACTGCTGGTTGCCTGGGAGAAGAGATCAATCCCCACCTGGCTACAGCCTTCTTTCAGGCAGTTGTAGAGAGTGATGAGATCTCCTCTGAGCCTCCTGTTCTCCAGGCTAAACAACCCCAGCTCCCTCAGCACTGGACTTGTGCTCCAGTCTCTTCATCACTCTCATTGCCCTTTTTCAGGCCTGCTCCAGCACCTCAATGTCCTTCCTGAACTGAGGGGTCCACAACTGGACCCAGTACTCCAGCTGTGGCCTCACCAGCGCTGAGTACAGGGGAAGAATCACTTCCCTGGGCCTGTTGGCCACACTGTTCCTGATGCAGGCCAGGATGCCATTGACCTTCTTGGCCACCTGGGCACACTGTTGGCTCATGTTCAGCTTCCTGTCAATCAGAACCCCGAGGTCCCTTTCTGCCTGGATGCTTTCCAGCCACTCTGTCCCCAGCTTATAGTACTGCCTGCAGTTTTGTGGCCAAAACGCAGGACCCAGCACTTGGCCTTGTTGAACCTCACACCATTAGCCTGCATATATGTTCAAGCAACTGGAATTCAGATACCAGGGTAATTGAGCTGTCATAGCCATCTTCACAGTGTATACCTTATGCCAGATAAACGCATTTTTAGTTAAGCTTTACTAAAACAGGGGAAAAAAAAAAACCTTTCATTTGATTTTGTTTACATTGAACAGAAGTAATATAACACAGTGGGAAACCGGCCCACAGCCCATTTAGCTATAGCAGGTAAGACAAAATATAGAGCTTAACATCTGCCCCTTTGTCAATGACAAAATTTTGACTGACTCTGATAGCACAGGGTCAGTGCCGCAGATGGAAGTACAACTTGCACACCCCAAAACATTTGCATAAAGAAGAGAGAGTCTCACAGATCAGGAAGATCAAATAAATAAAATGAGCATATCTCAGCCTGAAAGTAAAAAGCATATCCAAACATTTAATTCCTACTTCCCTCAAAAGAAAACCCACAATCCACCCCCAAACGAACTTCCATTTCCCCAAAACACAAACTAACGCTGAGATCAATTCCCTAACACTTTAATAATACACAAGCACACACAGGGTTTAGGACAGTGATGAAAAATGTGTCATGCTTTTCAAGGTTAGTCCCCTTTCACTTTAAAAATATTTATGTTTTCTGGCCTTTGTCGTCACTATGGTCTCCTAGAGAGAAAATGCCCTTCAGAGGCACGCTGACAGAGATCACTGCACACCCAGGCCCAAAGAGACATTGCGGATTTCAGCTGCCAGCATTGGTGGGACAGGCTCTGTTAGTCAGGCAGCAGCTGCAGGACACACTGGGCTCCCAATGCTGGGGAAGCCCTCACATCAGGCATTTCAGCCCCTGTAACACAGTTCAGGGGGAGCAGCCGATCCCACTGAGTACCTGACCCTCTCCACCAGGTGCTGTCTGAGTTGAAAGATAACTGCTCACTTTTGGACAGTGCTCTTACACAGCAGGTTATTCGCTGTCCCAGCATCCTGACAGGTTTACAAAGTACGAATAAGATGGCTAAGTAGTCGCACAAGGCAACATGAGTTGAAAAAAACTCAAATCACCAAAACCCCAAACACAACACCAGCTCTCTCACCCTCCCTAACAAACAAAGAATTTCTACAGTTTGGTTAAATAGGAACAAAATTCCATACAGTGCATAGTGGCAGACACGGACTCTTAAATAGAGTAGCAGATTTTTCTCTTATTTAAGAGAAAACAAGTATTCAGGGTAAAGATGACCAACTGTAAATGAAGGGGAACAAACCTAGATTGACAGAAGTTACAAAAAAAAAATAAATAATATAACCCCATAGCTCCAGACAGTATCATCAGATAGATGCTGCCCAGCCACCAGCACTCTGCTATGGTTTTTCAAGTGTTATTACAATTACAGGACTTTAAGGGATATTTGCAGGAGGCAACCCTGCTCTTGCAGTAACCTGAGCTCTGTCCCTTGCACTGTCTCTAAAGGTTTTGCTTTCAGCTACCCATCTGCAGCATGAGGATTTGGGATCAATAACTCAGCAGTACCTCCTCCTGCTTCCATGGTCACTGCTGCTCCTACACCAAGGTAGCATCAGCATGCACGTATTTTGTAGTGGAGTCTTCCTGTCTCTGATTTCCACAGGCCGTGAGTATGTGCACCTTGTCTGCAAACAATGATCTCCAGAACACTGTTTCTCAGCAGGACTATGCCAACTTGTATCTATCCTTTGAAGAGACAGTGGTTTTAGTTTGGTGGGGAGATGAGATTGCACTTCAGAAGGTGCTTCGTTTTTGAAAAAAACAATATATTAATTAACAAAAAAAGTAAAGCCAGAATTTCAATATCATGACAAATTTATCAAAAAAAGAACAAAAGAGAATTGCTTAGTTACCCAAATAAAAGTAATGGACAGAAGCCCATACCATTCCTGCCTGAAGGACATAGACACACCTACCACCTGGTTTTAGGCAAAAGTCGTCATCTTCCTCCATTTCATCCAATGAATCTACACCTGACAACACTGGACAGTTTACAGTGGTAACACCTCACCCACTGAAATTCTAGGTTTGCATTATTCAGTTAGGCCTCCTACCCTCTCTCACAGCACTGCAGTCATTCAAGGAGGGAAGTTTCACCAGCACCTGTGGAAAGCAGCAAAGGAAAGGTATCTAGGGCACTGTGGATATTCTATTCCCTACCAATATTAGTGGTAATACAGCCTAGACTTGCACTGCTAGCCTTGAACATCTCAGCAAATCAGAGTGATGAATTATTTAGGACAAACACTTTGAGTTTCAAACTGAGAACAGTGGAGGTGCCTATTTTCTGCAGTGGCTTCCTCAGAAAGTCTCTCCCTGCTCCCCTGCTAGGACATTGGAAGTGATACTAGGAACACTGCCTCAGTTAAAAAACATTGTCATTGTTTCACAAACCTTTACCAAACTTTAACCAATTAGGTTGGTTAAAGTTCCATGTCGGCTATTTTCTCCATATTATTTGACAGTGCAACTGCTAAATTAAACTATTTCAAAGAACAAAACCAGTGCCAAGAGAGGGGAGGACATTTTGTACATGTCAAGATCTGATGACCTCCAAAGGTCACCCTGACCCACGCTTCCAAGTGACAAGCCTGACATCTGGTCATGAGGCTTAGAATCAAGGATGAACCTCCTCCCCACAGCTTTCACATTACAGCATGCCCCAGCTGAAATGGTATTTATGAGTGCCTTGTGAGAAGGAAAAGCAAGTGTCACGTGTGCCCCACAGGGTTGGCAGAAATCTGCAACAAATTTGCCATCACAAACCCAGTCTCAGGTGGTACTGTTTCAGTTCTACACAAGAGCAGATCTGCTCTACAAAGGTAGTGTGTCAAATGGGCATCCGACCACTGGCAGTAAAAACACAGAATCCCATTACTCTCAGTAATCTTGCTGCTGGGTCCACTGATGATATAGAAAGCCAGAGAGACAATCATTATTTTATATTCTAATTACCTGCATGACAAAGGTCACTGCATTTCCCCAAATTCCCATTTGGCCTCAAATGGGTCTACAAAATTAAATCTTTCTTAAACATTTTCAAGAGGTCAAGAATCCAAAGTAGCACTTTGCAAATCAGGTCAGTGAGTCTTAGAAGTGCACATCTTATTTTATTTTTTTTTTTTTGCTAAAATCCATCTAACTAGAATCCAAGGGTGCCAAACAGGGTGTTTACACTTTAAGAAGATGTAATTTTTTGCTTCTCCTCATTATTCATGCACAGTCCCAAAGCAAATTTATAGCGAGCTTCTAAAAATAGCATTAATAATCTTAGGGGCTGCATTAAGACCCTAATTAAGATAGTATATGAATTTTTCCTGCTTGCACCTAAGATTATAGATTTAAGCTACACACTCACAAGACTCCTTAAGGAATTTGTTTTCTTAACACCAGTTTGGGAAAGATGGTCATCATTCTTGCTTCCATACAAGGTGTTGAGACATCAAGTCAGAAGTATTTCACTACCTTGGTGTGACTTGTTAAACCACATTTAGGACCCGGCTTCTCAGTGGACATCGTAGTTCACAGCGTAACTCCCCTGGACCTGGTTGCAGTTGAAAACATTCATCAGCTCTGAAAGTGCTCTCCAAGATGAGAAGTGAGGCATTGCGGAAAGGAGGAGTCTTCTCACAAGGTTTTTCTGAGGTGAGCTTTTTAGCTTTACACAAGACCTTCTCATCACAAGCAAGAGTGGGAGTTGGTTTCCGACAAACAGTGCAGCTGCTTCAGTACAAAGACCAGCCCTTCACCCAACGTTGTTGCTCCCCATCCACCTCTCAGCTGGCAACATCAGTAACAAAACTGGATAGATTTATCAACCAATCACCTCTCTCTCCCACAGCCATGGCTCACATGCAGGGTAAATCCCTCCTGCACACTGCAGACACAGGGATCACAGCCAGCCTTGGAACTGCTTCTTCCACAGTCCTCTTGTCAGAAACAGTAAGCACTGGCCTACAGATTGCCATTGTTGGAGTGGGAGGAATAGAGCCTGCTGCTACCAAATAGGCCTGCAATTTTCTGGGAGCCATGAGCTAAAGGAAGAGTCGATGTAAAAGAGTTCAAGCAAGAAATAAGAGGTGAAGATTCTAACCCCAAATTTGTACCATCAGTCCCGAACACAACTTTTGCTCAAACAGGTTAGCTTTGAGAAACCATGTAAAATGCACCATAGTTGAAAAGGATGTTACTAACAGCCTCTCTATCTCTGCCCATACAAGGCAGAAAAAGACACCTCCAACTTTTCAGTAAGAATTAAACCCTGATTTAACTTGCAACTCAGGTTAAATACTCGTCCCCTCAGAAGTTACCATACGTCAGTGAAATGAGTTTGTGTTGCTTTTCTCTGCATAAAGAGTTCAAAGACTCCTCACTGGAAACAATTGCCATTTAACAACTAGTATCCTAGAAAGCTGTAAACGAGTCCTGATTTAATTGAACTGAAAACTCATTATTACCGAAAGAAATCATACACTGTAACAATGACCAAAGCTTTCCTGGAAGAGCTCTCTCTCTGGATTTGTCATTAACATCTATATCCTAACACTCCTAAATAATTCAGTACAGCATTTAGCCCTGTGTCCTTGCCTCTCTACTCAGAAACCACTCTCACTCTTTACAGTATATTTCAGCAACAGGGAGGAAAAATCTGTCTGGATTGTGGTTCTTCCTTGTTCTGTGCAACTGAGGGGGGAACCTCAGTTACCCTTTCTCTCTCAGCATAGAAGCACAGGTTTTATTTATTTTATTTTTTTGGGAAAAGTGTTTATTAGACAACTAAATATAGAGCATTATTTATCCACACAGAGTCATGACCATGTGGGCTCAGATTCACATGCAAATTCCCCTTTTAATAATCCTAATGCAGGGAGTGCTCCAATCAGAGCGCTATCAGTCCCAGCTCCCAGATACCTGATGCCAGCTTTGCTGGTAATGTAGGCCACTGAAGCAAATCCAGAGAGATTGAGCTGGAAGTGGAGAGAGGCTCTGAGATCTATTTGCTTGGCTTCCTGACGACGAGGGGGTGTGTAACTTCTTTTTGTCTTTTCCACTATAAAGGGGCTATCATTTAAGAGGGATCATTAGCTGAGAGCAGCCCAGCTGGGTCGAGGCTGGGAGGCGGGGACGCAGTTGCAAGCAGTGGAGCAAGGTGGAGGCACGAAGACAGAAGACCAGGTTAATGAAAGCATGAGGTGGCTCTTGGGCAGCAGCTTGAAAAAATTTGGACACGCTGACAGGGGAAACTATGACTGGCTAAACAGTGAACCTGGTGGGCCACTTCTGGAAACAGAGCTTCAGGTCTGTACCCTCCTGCTCATCTCTGTGACATGTCCTTTGACTTAACATGTGTGTGTATGTCCATATAATGCCTCATGTATAGTGCAGAGTAAAAAGCTGGGTATTGGGATGTGTCAAAGCAGTACTGCTCAATTACACCGAGTCAGAGCATTTATTTATTGCTGTTAAGTTGTTTTAAACACATTTGTGGGAAAAGAAAAACATTAGATAGAAAAATTCTCTTGGAGTGGCAGGTAAGGAAGTTTAATTACTTCTTTTAAGCATAATGAATTTTGCTGTTCCTTGATTTCCTTTCTCTTAAATGCATGTTTATGCTTTGGATCTGGTCCTGTGAAGCCTTTCTGCAGATGTTGCGAGTCAGTAGCAGGCAGCAATGAACTCTTGTTCCCTAAGCTGTGCGCTGATTACTTCTGTGAGAGAGGATCACATGCAGGCGAGTGGGGGGAGGGAAGTAGCCCCCAGAGATGAAAACACAGCCTGTCTTTCTGGCTTTGTCTGGCATACAGTGAGAGGGTTTCTCTGATCAAAAATAATAATTTAAGGTGCACGTACATCCCCAGTAAATGTCCGAGTCAAGTAGCATTAGCAAATGAACTGGCCAGACTAGTTAGCTGAGATATGAAGTGTACTGTTGCAAAATAAAAGGGGATAGGAGTGTGTGAGGGTGTCAAAATAGGAGAAAAAGAAGTCTTTAATAACTCTGCAATTTTAACAAAATCTATCTCATCAGTAAGATTGCCAGAGTTAGAGTGGCAATGGCAATGTCTTCACACCTCGAGACTGGTTTTATCTGACACTGGGAAACAAAGAGCATCACCAGAGTCACATTTCAACAAGTATTTGAAAATTCAGTGTAAATCTAGGCTCACTTTTAAATTATGTGTCATTATTAATGTATACAAAAACACATCAAAATGTTTTTCTATTTGTCAGATTTATGTTTTTGCTTTTTACAAGCAATAATGAGTCAGCTTTAAAAAGCAGGATGGAGCTTGGAAAAGCACCTATGGGGGGACCACAGCCTAATGCCTTCAGACTTTGTTCCAAATCCACTTAAACATTTCAGAAGTATTGGTTTCATGATTCAACTTGAAAAGATATAAGTATAAATATGGGCTATTTAAATAAAAGTAATTTTATTAGAGTTCTAAGTACTCTAGCAAATCATTAACAATATAATAAATCTTAGCACCAATCACTTCAGTGGGAATTTCAGTAAGCAAATAAACTTTTACTTTTTTATCCTTACACCAAAGCTTTCTTTAAACTCATGTTTGGCCTTATTAGGTCATTCTCTCCCAAGCCAGGTAGTATCCCTCTTTTGCCTAGACACATGGTTCAGCTCCAAACCCATTCCATTACTCATCATGGATATACCACACAACTCAGCTCCACTCTGCATTTTATTCCTTTATCAACAGGCATGAGTAAAAGCTCATCTTAGCTGATATGGGTCACGTAATCTGTAAGCTGGCAACTGTACATGCTCAGCACGTTAAAAAAACATAGGCAGACAGATTACTAATGAAAGGCTTTACTACTTTAGTCTGTGCTCAGTGTTTGGGAAAACTGACCCTCTGCTTCAATTCCTACAAATATATAATGAAAGGAAGAGAATAAACATGAGCCTACAATGACCAAACTATTCTAAGAATCAGTTCTGGGAAAACATAACTTTTTAGAAACATGATCGCTTTTACTCCGAAGCCCTTTTCTGCCTTTCTCTATTTTATAAAGGATATTTTCCCTATATTTATGTGTCTCTAACTTATTTCATGGTGGAAGTCAGATCCTTATTTTTGTCAATTACAAACCTGACAATAGCTGCTTGTGATGACACAAGCAGAGCACACTGATGTCCAGTGAAGCAGCATCCAACCAAACCAGTCAGGAAAACACTGCCTAATAATGCCCTCAGTCACTTCATATGCCTGGTTTGGAAACTTTCAGGGGTTAAACAGTAAAGGATTTTACTTCATATATGTTCTGCAGTTGGTTTACTTTCACTTCAACTCATGAAGATTCAGATTGATTTTTAGATCATTTTATTTTCCAGTTCTGGCAGCTATTCCTGTTACCTATACACAGTGCTTACTTTTCTAGTTTTAGAGGTTAGTTTTAGTTCAGTTTAGAACTTTAGTTATAGTTTGGAATTTCTAAGTAATTATTTATTTTTTATTAAGTGACCTTTAACTCATTGTATTAAAATTATTTTTATTTTTGATGTAATTTTTTTTAATGCCCATAAGATTTTCCAAGCCTTTATGTCAAGATCTGCACAACATTCTTCACTAGCCTCTTAGTCAGTCATTGCAGAAATGGGCACAAAACCATGACAGAAAAACAGGGACTAATACTGATCAATTGTATCGCAATACATTTGATAATATATATGGATTTACCTACAAGAAGTTCATCAGCTTTTTGAACTACATCTCAAACTAAAAGCAGTCCATGTAAAATGCTTGGCAGGAGACAGTATCAAAATGGATATATAACTCCCTGTTCAGGTTCTCTCCATCTGTAGGGCAGCATTAACTTACTTAAAACTATTTCAATTCGAATAATACACTACGTAGCCTACAAATTATTTAACCCAGATAGGAAAGGCTTAACACTAGCTGTGTTTAAAAAACTATGAACCCTTTGAAACACAGACTGAGGAAAACTGGTCCTTGCTGTCATCTGTCACCATACAGAAAAAAACATATTGCCCAGTACTTAATCCTACCTGCTACTATTTTGCAGATTGTAGTAAAACACACTTAATGTCCTTTCACAACTATACAGGACATGGTATTTGCTTCATTATAGCCATTCAGTGTGCTACTTCCCCCCCCCCCCCTTTCTCAGCATACAGCACAGGGTCTTATTCACTGCATCTTCTTCAAAAAACCAAATTTATTATGTCTCCTTTTGCATACATTACACAAGTGCCTGGTTGCTATCTATTCAGTAGTTATTTTGAATAGATTAGGATAAAACAGGAGTAATTCAGTTGGAAGGGACCTGCAATGAAAATCTAGTCCAACCATCTGACCATTTCAGGGAGTACAAGAGGATATGAACTGTTTCATAATAACCTGTGTAATTTTTGCCCAGATCTCTCAGTGCAACAAAGTACTTGCAGGTTCAGGGCATTGCTCTTTCACCTTCAGATGCAGCAATACAGATGCAGAATTTCTACAGACCAGACCCAGGGATCTTAACCCAGGCACTTTAAGTGAGGTATAACCAACAAATAACCCACAACAAACACCTCTGCTGAACTGTCTTGCCCCTCCCCTAGACCATTCAGTAAAAGAGGCAGGAATACAGCTCCCCAGGACAGCATTCACTATCCCACACTAGCAGGTAGTCCTCTCAATTCCCCCACTCTTCTGACTCAGTCACTACATACCATACACATCCTGCAACACAGTACCCTGAGGTATTGTGGTCTTCTTCCCTAAGCAATCTATCACAAACCTGAGTAGGCACTTTGTACACAATAATGTAATTAAAAATTATATGCATTGCAGAACAAATTAAGGAATCATAGATTTCCAAAATGCTGGCATTTATTCAACCTTGAGAGCTTGATTTTGCAACTTTAGAAACAATGCTATAGGTTACTCTTGGAGGGCTTTTAGGCCAGTAACCCACTGACATCCCAAGCTGTCCTTTTGTACCTACTTCACAGACTGTGGTCATCTGAGCTAGCTTATACTACAAATAGTTTCACTTCTTCCATTTTTTTACCATTAGATGCAAATTTTCCCCTCCAACAATAATATATTTTACACATTTCCTTTGATGGGTATACAAGGCCCAAGACCACTGGCTTCCAGTTAAGGCTTTGGAGCAATGTATTTCCCTGAGACCCAAGACTATTTGTTAATTCCTTCTATCAAGCTTAACCTTTTCCTTCCTTCTCCTGCCTCATAGTTTTTCACTAGCCCTTTCCTTTTTCCTTCTTATTTGAAAAGAATGGGACTGCTGCAGCGAGAGTGTTGTTCCTCAGATTTCTACTCTCAGTCCTATTCAGTCTTACTGCCCTCAGTCTTGGTTCCCTTTTGGCTTTCCTCCCCACAGTTTTATATCTTGTTCTCACAAGCTAAGGCTCTCCTTCCACACTGCTGCACAATTCTGATCTGTACCCTTCTCCACTCTGTCCATCCCTGATGAGTTCACAGCTCCTCACTTCAGAAACATCAATTCTCATCCTGTGCTTCAAATCCACATCCAACCCACCAATCCTCCCCGTGTCTCCCTGCCATACAGTGGACTCTCTGAAATCCAGTGTTTGTAAGAGGCCATGTCTTATAACAGGATGTATCAGGCAACCATAACAGTAGTCTGTGCTTCCACCAGCACAGGAAGGATACACCGTCCTTGACCACTATTTAACAAACGAATATCCTTTCAGTGAAATTTATAGGGAAGCTGCACCAAGTTTAAAGGATAATCAGGGCTTTATATACCTTTTACTAATCTCATGTAGAAAAAGCTGGCAATCTCACTCTCTCAAATCTCCATCCTCACAAACCACCAGATTACTGTACAACTTATAGATCCTACGAACAGCACTTAACCTGGCTGAAAGCCTGCTCCCTACAAATTAAACCCCAAACTTAGACTTGGATCTCAAAAATATGCTCTTCACTGATTGTGAATAATGCTGTCCAATATAAGCTCAGCTCTTCGAAATATTTACTGTAAGAGTATCGGTAACACATCAGTATGGGTGAGTCTCCAAATAAGCAATGCACAAATACAATACTGAATGCCTCTTTTCATTTTCCCAGGAAGTGTTTTACGCCCCTCGTAAGACCCACTAAAAAAGCATTAATGAACTTAAAAAAAAAAATCCCCTCATTTTTAAAAGATTATTTAATGACTGGATTAGAAGAACAGCGGGAACAGTTTCTTCCAACTCTGCTCTTTCCTGTAGCCCATTTAATAGTCAGGTAAGACAACAGCTTGTACTGCCAGAAGCTCTTTAATAAAAAATGATCAGTAAATATAAAAGAGTTCTTTAGTATGCATTTTTTGGGAAAAAGACAGCTGGGGGAAAAAAAAGTTTAATAGCTTACCCACAAAAGTTTCAATACATTTTTAAATTACTTTAATGGATTTGGCTTCAGACCCACAATACCTTAGGGAAAAAAAAGGCAGAAATCTCCCCTATGCTATTTTTTAGAAGTCAAAACCTATTTACTTTGGTTTTCTTAGGCAGAATTTCATAATAGGACAACAAAGCAGAAAGGTTACAAATACCTGGTAGATAATCAGTTGAATGGAGGTTACAGTGTGATTTTGTAGCTGGAAGAATTACTATAATTCTTGGAAGAATAAGCACAGAAAGTTTTTGTAGACTAAGAAGGGAGCACTGGGGTTACTGGCCCTTTTCACAAAGCCATTGCTGCAAGCAGCCAGTTTGCATCCCTGCTTCCAAACGCTTTGAGGAAAGAACCACTCAGTTTCTCCTAGCTTGAATAGGCACTTTCATTCAAAATAAATGAAATCTGATCTATTGACCTGTTAAGTCTCACCATACAAACGTGAAAAAGCCATCTGAGAGCATTCTTCAGAAACTTACTAAGGGAATGAGTTGATAATAAATAGCATTATAGGGTTTGGGTTTTCTTACCTCTCTAGACTGGACTCTGAATGAGATCCACTTACTAGAAGCTAGAGTAAGATAGAGCCATACTGAAAAAAAGATACATTAAATTTTAAAACTAAAGCTAATACAACAGAAGAGCACAAATGGCTTTGTTGGTTTTGTTTGTTGGGTTTTTTTTTAGTAGCTAATGACTCCAGTTAACATTACAGAACAATTTAAAAGCTGTGAGACAGAGGCCTTTTGTGCTACACCTCAGAAAATAAAAGCTGACAGCTAACAGTCACAACTGTTATTACTCTTACACAAGAAGTTCTTTTTCCACAGTTTCAACCAGGGAAAAATGATTCTTGGAAAGCCGGCAGAACAAGCTCAAGAAAGAGCCCCAGTCCAGGCTGTACTAACACACCACGTCAGGGTCTGGCCTGTAAGATTAGAACAACCCAAAGAATAGGTATTGTAGGCAATGGGCCCTGTTTGAATGGGCTACTTGTCATAACATTTGTTCTTTAAACAGTTTGTCAAATACAAAGAAACAACACTAGATGGTGCTTCACCTGGATCATCTGCAATTCACTGTTCTCACAAATTTTAAAAGCTTGACTAATCTCCCACAAAGTGGACTGGTCCCTCTATAATCCAAGAGCAATAAAATGTCAGTGTCAAACAAAATTACATACACTTCCAGGTTGTTGGGTTTTTTCCCCATTGGATACAGGGTTTCCTAGAAACGCAATAGTCTTTCCAACTTTTCTGTTTCTTTTGTCTCTAGTTGTGATTTGCTTTAATGAGCCCGCAAATAGAGTTTGGCAATTCAGGAGTCTGCAAAACATATCATTTGACTGACATTAATGCAGACAGAAAGAAATTTGGAAAAGCGACTGCTAGAGCATAAAGGGGGAGATGGACAGAAAACATTTTTGCTTTCTCATTAAGAGGTCTCCAGGAATCCAACACACTACCTATTTGCTTTGCTTACAGAGCAGACAACAGACAAGTTCAACCAAAGACGACATAGAACCATTTCTGTGCATCATATTGCCTGCCACCATGATGCTCTTCCTGGCATTCCTGCTGCTCTTCCTGTACCGCCGTTGCCAGCGCCCCACTCAGCAGGGGCAGATCTTCAGCATCGACCTTCCTGAGGCCCTGCCTGAACATGATGTGTCCAATTTCCTTTCTGCACTGCCCTGGAACAGTGAACAGAGTTTCCACTACTCCACACTGGTCCCTGATGCCACATTCCTCTCTGTGTGTTTACCTCCATCGTATGAGGAGGCCACCATGAAGACTTCCATGGAAGAGGCTCACATTGAGCTCTCTCCAGACCCAGTGCCTCCTTATGAAGAGAGCACACTGCAGACCAGCAGCGCCAAATAAACTTTCTATGGAAGCACCTTAGCTGAAGCATGCAACCCCCTCAAGGCACAAGGGTAGAACTGCTATGGCCTTTAAAATCTGTGAAAAGATTCCAAATGAGGCACCAAACCAATGAATTTATGCAGGAAGAAACTTGAAGTAACAGGGAATGAGTCTCTTCACCTCGTCCTAGGACTCTCTACCTTCCATTTGTGGCAAGTGTACACATGGTATAGCACCAAATCTGACCCAGACTGGCAGCATGGGTATTCCAGTTAACAAACATGTCATGAAAGGATTAAACTTAAGGAAAGGTGAGAAGTTGTTCCTCTGCCATCCATCACCTACAAAGAAATTTCAATAACGTTATAGATTCACTTGTCACAAAAAGGGCTTTTAGCACATGCCTATTTCAGTTTGGAGGTTTTTTCTATGTGTTTATTTTCAATCGAGTCTTTGACAAGCTTAGTCACTCCATCTGTGTGTGTTAACATCACATCATTCTGCAGTGCTCTGGAATGATCACAACTCTCAGGAAAGCAAATAAATATATAATATATACAAAATTTCAGCAACTGTCTCCAAAGGTTCTAATGTGCACTGTGGATACAGGCTGTCTTTTCTCACAGTTGAACAATGAGAACAATCAGAGAAGATCTGATTGTTCTGGGTGTGGAAGACTCCATACAAGAGCACGTTCACACTATTGCTGCAAGCTTCCTGCCAAGGTCTGCAAGGTCCCAATGTTCCAGACTACTCGCTTGACTTCTTTTCCAATTTACAAGTCTAAAATGATAAACCATGTGACTTGTTTGGTGCAGTGTGTAAAGAAGCTGGAGAAAAATTAATAAATTCAAATGCACCAAAAAAATCTGGTCTGTATTTCAAAACAGCATTATCATCTCTTCCCCTTCATCACTAAGGCAAAGCTAATTCTAGTGTGTTGGTGGCAGTGGCTCAGAGGGTTTGCACGTGCATACTTTTAGACTATCTTTAATTTTTCTCAGAGGATAGCATTTTCACCATGTTGATAGATGCTCTTGTTACAGAAGGTGGCTACTACAGATCCTGACAGCCTCAAAGTTATGTTGGCAAGCCACAGACAAAAGTAATGTCATGGAATAGCTGACACCTGCAAGCAAGAAACTATTGTAACAGCTGTGTGCAGTCTTGGTGTAACTAACAAATCCAAAGGCTGCCCTGACCTGCACTCTCTGATCTCAGCAACTGTCAGGAGGTGTCAGTATCAGCCAGTCCTGCTTTATGAACTTACCACATTCCTTAAAAAACCCAACAAAACCAACAGTACAATAATGGAAGAAAAAATCACTGCTGTACAGCAGAAGAAAGGCCGCTTTCAAGCTGCAAGGTACTTAAAGCTCATGTTATGTCAACAGTGACACAATCACAGTAACCAAACAGTCCAGGTCAAAACTGATGTTGCCAATCATACATTTCTCTTATAACAAGAAAAAATATCTGCCTTTTATAATTCAGAAATGGGATTGTTTTCTTGAATTTCAATTTGAGATAATTCCTTTTCTAATGTTCCATTTTGCTTATCAAACTGCAGCAGCAGATGTTTCGGAAAAATTCAAATTCAATCAACCATTTTTCTTCTCAGACCACATCTGGGAACAGTTCCTGTATTTGCTGGTGCATTTGAAAGTACTATATTCTACTGTCTCCTTGCATTTTCTTTACCTTCTTAATATTTGGTACACAGAGTTGTTGCCAGCTACAAGGAAAGCTGGACAAATATACGGGCCCCAAACAACATAACTAATTGGAAAGGTGCAAAGCTTTGAGGTTCAAAGATAAATCACTTCTGCCTCTGGTGTCTGTATATTCCACTGTCTTCAGCAAAGTTGTACAGATACACTTGAAAACTAAGCTATTGTCATATCCAATGGGGTATATTTTGCCTAAAAGATCTACTGTGTTCTGAAATGAGCTGCACTGTTATTCAGCACAGATTCTTGTTTATCCTTAACCTGGGTAGAGCCTGATACTCAGCCCCTGGGTTCATCATTCTAAATGGCTCTCTAGTTACCTTAGTTACAATTAAAAAAAACTTTTTGATTGCTTTCTTGTGACCAAGACTTATATACTTCTAAAATAGCTGAGAATTGCTATTCTCTGGAAACATATAGAGAGTTTCACACACTATTTACTGGATAACTCTCGAATCCTGCTTTAGATAAATAGCTTCTGATTGTATTACTATAGACAATTAAAAACAGACACTTGCTCAATTTCAAATTAACAGAAACACTGCCATGACTTAAATTCCTCTTTCTAGTAGACTGCTTTTTATTCCATCTGGAATTTGTATCCCTTACCTCATTCCAAAACAGATTTGTCTAGTCTTGCATGTTAATTGTCCCTAGTGGGTTTCAACCTAACCAGCACCTCTACTCTTAAATCCCCACCACAAAGAGAAGGTCCACTAAAACAAAAAGAGAATGTTTCTCCTGCAAACATATTGAAATTAAATCTCCATTGCCCAGAAGCTACCTCTGATCATATTAGCCTGTGGTGACACACATCTCAGTAACCACAGTGTTACTGGTGTTAGTGCTACTGCTTGTGGAGCAGCTGTCATGTCCTTAGGGCAAGCACCTTCTGCATCCAAGAGGAGAGCTCATGACCTGAAAGGAACTCGTGCCTGGTCATACAGCAACCATAAGTGCAAGGGGAAGATCTTTAATTTTCTTAGCTCCAGTAATCTCAAAGGTGAAGGTTTTAGACTGAGGAGAGACATTAAGTTTTCGATTACATAAAAGGTAATTGCAAACAAAGCAAAATAAGCACCCCTCATGCTTGCACCAATCTGAACTGGTACTAGTGATCTTAAAGTGAAACAAGTTTAAGTCAGAAAAGAAATTTCTAAAAGTGAACTGCAGTCTGAAAGTGCAGCAAAGCAGTGGCAACACCATCTCTGGCCACATTAAGAAGTTAGACAAACTTATGTCCAGAGTGATGAAGGCTCCTAACTGGAACAAGGAATGGACTGGATGTCTTCTCTGAGTCCTTTCTTGGTATAGCTAAAGCTATATCAAATTAAATTTTGTTCATAATTTCCAAATTTTGTATGAAATCAGATGGCTGTTTCTTTGAAAATTTGATACTAGGAGATTTCATATGCATCCAGAAATCACTGTAACACTGGTGTTGTAATTTATAACCACAAAGTTCTTTTTCTTTTTTTTTAAAATCTCATATCTGCTACTACACATATAAAGTCTTATAAGTTGTTAACTTACCTAACGTGAAGGGCAATATTTCAGTTTTCTATTATAAGAATATTGAGAACCATGATGAGATTATTTATGTACATAGAACCCCTTGTTTATACTTAGTAGGAAACTATGGAACAATATGGACCCCCTCATTAAGGTTTCAGAAGCTCAGAGAGCAATCTCTGTGCATCTCCTCTTTGTGAGAGCTGCCAGTCTCTCTCTGACTGACATCGATCCACTGCTCTGTAGACCAAGATGCAGATACATCTTGTACACATGCCAGTTATTTGCTCAAAAGACATTTAAAGGAAAGCAACACAGGTAATTCATACAAAACAGTTCTATTAAATATCAACTGAAAGTAATCAGCACGCATCTCCAGTAATAATACGGTACTTTCACATCCAGTAATAATACAGTACTTTCAAATTACTAGAATATCCTGTCTGTCTCACTTTACCTGAAGGAAGGAAAGATGAGACACCTCTTTGCAACCACAGTAGGAGCTCAGAAACTAACATCTTGGATAAAAATGATTCATGCTTGTGCATAGATCAAGCATCTGGCACCTAATCTTTGATGAGCTAAAAACTAACTCATGATTCACTGGTTTGTACTTGCAAGTGACAAAATAAGTTTTTCAAAACAGGACAGTCACTTCTTGGCCTTGGCCTAGGAAAGACAGAATAAGCACTTCAATGTATAAATTTCTCTTCAGAGAGATGCTTGTTTGTAACAAATACCTTGTCTAGAAATTTAGATCCCTCACTGAAATGGAATAACTTTATATAAAAAAAAAAAAAAGCAAACTCTGACATTGAGTCAGAATATCTTTATGATAGTTCAATAATATCACAGTGGCCAAGAAAGAACTGCCCCCAAAATACAACATGTGGCTTAATCTATGCTTATAAGGATTTTGCTTGTGCCCCTATGCCAGCAAAGCATCCAAATACAGACATATAATTACTTTTACCAGTACAAACTCCACTAGCATGAACTGTATGTGCTCTAGTAGTCAAATAACGCTTACAAATGTAGGTTTTATCTATATTAGAAGGTGACTCAGCAGTCTTATTCTGGCTAAATACAAAACTGCAGCAACTCAGAAGCAGATTCATAGAGGAGTCTGTCTTGCAGAGAATGGTAATTGGCAGAGATGACACCTACTGCTGTCCAGTTTTAATTCACAGCCTCCATACATCTGACAGTAAGCAGACCATTGATTTAGCTGCTGGTTCAATCAAGGGCACAGGAGCTAACAGGTAGTAGTACTCCTTACAGGAGTTAGCTTAAGGACAAGAATGAAAAGTTAAGGCTTTCAAGTCACACCTTGTTCACCAGAAGATATGTGTAACACAGCTCTTTCTACTTTCCAATTTCTTCCTCTTGAAGGCCTGTAAGTTTTGCATCCTCTGGTTCCACTGCTTGCACCACTTGAAAAGTTATGACTTCAGATTAAGTGCAATTTGTACCAAAGAACAAAAAATGATAGCACAATTTTTATACTGTTTAAGGCAATTTCAACATTTCACCTACATTGAAACTACTTGATTACAATCATTTTGAGAGAATTTAAATAGCTGTTTTCCATACTGTACAAAGCCTTTCTTTAGCTTTGATACAGCTTCCTGAAAAACAAACTTTTCCCTGAGACAATATTATGAAGGCAAGAATCCTTCCAACAGAAGGAATTACTTCTGTTCTGGGTCACAGTCAATAAAGCAGCAATAAATCTTGTAATGTAACTCAACACACTTAAAAGTATTTTAAAATACCTGTAACAAACAGTGCCTGATAAACCATGGGAAAGCAAGGTTCAGCATTCCAGATGTCTTCAGATGCAACCACCTCTTTCAATGTGCTTCTCAAAGCTCCCTCCCAAACTAACTCATAATAGGATTTTGCCTGCAGCCTGTTTTTTGCAGTACAATAAAAGGGTTCTCAGGATTAAAGGAACCCTTAAGTAATCATTATGCAGCTAAAATTTAATTTTCTTGGTTAGTCTGGCTTGTTTCAATGAGTGCTGCTCTTGACTTCCTTAAAGATGACTTGACTGCTACCACCTGGCCTAGCTTTTCCAATCCCACAGGCAGCTGTGGACTTTTATTGTGCCCATTTGTGAGTAAAATTAACTCTTTCCAGTCCTCAGTGAGGAGAAAACAACTGAGACAAATAAAGACCATCTAGGGACAGGAGCATTCGTTTTGTCAGGTCTATAAAGTGCTTGGCCCACAGAGAGCTGCCCCCATTCCTAACAGGCTTGCTACAAAACAAACAGAGTTCAGGACCAGTAGTGATCCTTCAGACATACTCCTTTGGTCACAGTGCTAGAAGCCTACTATGTAGCTGAGGAAAAAGGATGTGCTTGGTAGCAAGGTTTCCTCAGAAAACTAGTCCAATGTAATATGATTATGTTGCACGGAGTCTCAGAGTCTCTGCTCTTACTGGCTTTTCCAGACTGTTATGGCCTCTGTAAAATCTGCATGAAAATACATAGTTTCTCTTGCCGTGGTATTTTGGTGCTGAAAAAATCTCCAGAGCAGTTAATTAGGGGTGAGATAAGAAAGGGTTTATTTTGCCAAGGCTAAGATGTTACAAGACGCGCGCAGCCGTGCCTGAGAGGTTACATTTTATAATACCATCCATCCAATCCCAGATGTGTCCACCCTGTGGCCCTTCCTCTGGACTGCCCCGGGTCCTCCCCCTTAAAATGGGTCTGGGGTGTATTTCGGGACCCCTTATTCATCCCATCTTTGTCTTCATCAGAGCACAAAGGGTACATAGTTACCTAATTCTTGACCGTATTCTGTGGTTTAGGCCCTGATATGCTGTTCTGCCAACAATCTAGGCCTTGCCTTGACAAGAGACTAAATACTTCTGCTGTATTCAGAAGTAGGATTGATATAGGGAGCATAGAATGGAGTAAGAGGGTTAAGGAATGTATAAACAAGGGTACTGGAGAAAGGGAAAGGGACAAGTGACAAGAAGTGGGGGGGGGAGGTTGCTGCTTTTAAAATCTACTTCCACTACTTATAAAACTTACAAGTCTTACAAATATTAGAAAAATAAAAAACCATTAGGGGCTTAAGGCATCATTTCAAAAATACAAAGTGTCTTTCAGTTTTGTGGAAACTCAAGTTTCAAGGAAAGTGATTATAATAGTGACCTCAGTGAAGTCTGTACTATTCATCTCTTGTAAGACACTGAGAAAATCCACATAGAAGAAAGGCTTAATATAGTGAGCATGTTATTG